ACCCCCCCCCCCCGCAAGAATAATTTGTTCCTATATAGGTTGTGTCTTACAGAGAAAAAACTAATATTGGGTTGTCGTGATATTTTTGTAGAAGCTGTTCTGAAGTATAGTATATATATATTTTTGCTGTGTTTTCCTGTCACTGGGAATGTATTGAATACCTTTATAAAACAGCACTATGGGTATGTTTGTGTGAGAAGTATGTCAGGTGTTAACTTCTAAACTCTTTTTTAAAAAAATATCTTTATTGATTTCAGAGAGGAAGGGAGAGAGGGAGAAAGAGATAGAAACATCAATGATGAGAGAGAATCATCTATCGGCTGCCTCCTGCACGCCCCCTACTGGGGACCAAGCCCGCAACCCAGGCATGTGCCCTTGACTGGAATCGAACCTGGGACCCTTCAGTCCCCAGGCCAACGCTCTATCCACTGAGCCAAACCAGCTAGGGCTAACTTCTAAACTCTTTTTGCTTTAGTAGGAAATTGTTTAAATCCATTCCCCCCACCCCCACTCCCCCAGATAGAAGAATAATGCAGCACATCTGTTGTAGTTTTGGTTCCACCCCTGCCTAACTCTCAGACCTCATCGCTACCTTACCCATCATGTTGAACTCTTTCACATTGACTTTGAGCCTTGCCTTTGGAATCAGCTGTTTCCTTTTGCCTGGTCCCTCCTCCCATCCCACTTCACTCTCCTGGCTGAATCTTCCTCTTCCTTTGGGAACTTAAGTCCTTCTGCTCCCAGTTACTCCAGGACCCTGTGTGTCCTGGAAATGAGCATGTAAAGCAGCACGCTGTTGAAATTACTTGTTTTGGGTTCCTTTGCTGGATTTTGACTCTGAGCAGTCTTGGCCTGTAGCTGCCTTATTCACGGGCAATATCCTAATTGCCTGGAATATGTTTTGTGCAACGAAAGTGCTTGGTGACAGTTGAACAGAGGCAGTGGATGGTTTCTGGACCACACATCTCAAACTTAGGGCAGTCCTGGCAGACCTTATATTGATTCAGAGAATTTGTGGGTATGCCCCGTATGAATTACTTTTACATACAAATCCTAATTCTTTCTTCTTGGCTCAGATAAGAAACTTTGAAATTCTGTGAGTGGCTACTCATAACTATATGAGTCTTAATTAATCTTTGTGAACCAATCTGTACCTTGCATTTGTATTTGCCATAATACAGTTGTTCATATGTAAAGGTTTTTCTGCAAGCCTTCGTAAAATGCATTTAATGTTTCCGTTCCAGTTTCCAAAAGATTTTATTTGCAGGACATTGAGGTCCAAGGCTTAAATTAAGATTTAGGAATGCTTTAGTTCTGCAGATTTCAGTTGGGCTCTGTCATGGGCATAATGCTAGAGTCAGTCCCCCCGTTATTGCTCATTTCGTGATCCATAGCAGATAGCTTTCCTTAAGCAAAGGCAGGAATCTTCAAAAAAGAAAGTTTTGTACACTTCTTTTCTCTTTTAATCATTTTTTATTTAAAAGAAATTTTCTTTATTTAAATTGATTAACTTGAATTAATAACCGCAGTTAATTTCAGAAGTAGGAATGCTTGTCAACTCTGACTTCTTTTATTGTTTTTAAATTGTTGGTTGAGTCAAGATCATTATTTTTAGTTATATTCAAGGAACTTTGGTTGTATCTGATAGAATTAGAACTAGCGTATCTCGTACAAAAGAGCAGTGGTGTGTGAAGGAGGGGAGGAAGGAGTATTTTCTAGTATTTTAGAGAATTTAAAGCAGTAAGAAAATTGAAAGTTGGTATGCCTTTTTATTGTCACCATGATTCTAAACAGGCAATTAATACCCTTTTGTTTGTACCCACCTTGGATTTCTCCTGCCATCACACCCTTAGTAGGCCACTGATAAGAAGGAATCTGTTATGAGTGTTACGGCCAAAGGTGATCCTGAGGGGGCGGGGGGCGGGTGGTGAAAGGATTGAGAAAAGACAGACAAGAGAATGAAAGCTGGGTCTCGGTGGGACGCTGCTCCCTGATGAGGAGACAGCGCCAGCACCCACAAGCCATGTCTTTATAGCAAATGTCACGTGGCAAAGTAGGGGCGCGATAGGTTGTTTACAGCATTCTCGTGAGTTCCAACCTCACTCAACTACATGCACCTGAACTCTATCGCACAGGCACGTGGGGCCAAGTGTTCGGACCATAGGTTCAAGCTTACAACTATGGCTGTTGGCTATAATTGTGCTGGGAGGGCCTTGCCCTCCAGCTGGGACTTGCACGTGTCAATGAGAGGACCCTGTCCTTTCATTAGTCCGAGGCTTGAACCTGGCCAAAACACAGTAGCCGCGCCCCACAATGAGGCTGTGGAACCCCAAAACACAGGAGAGTGGCTTGGTATCCAAAGAGACTACTGAGTGGATCAGGAACTGGGAAACTAGCAAGAATCCGGTCTATCTCTTCTCCACATAGCTCCCACATTCACTTGTTCTTAGTTTCAACCCACACTAGTTAGCACCTCCCGTTTAATCCCAAATTCCAGGGTTAGAGAAACTGATTGGCCTGGCCTAGTATGGAGTCAGGAGTTCACTCCTACACTGGGCAGCTATGGCCAGAGCACAGCTATGTCATGTAGGCGGTCATGACTGTTGGGGGGGGGGCGGGGGCGGGTGGCAAAGTTCTCAGAGAAGAATGGATTGGGCAGCTATGGCAAAAGGCATAAATATGGATATATGCATTTTTTAACTCATTACATAATAGCTGGCACATGGTTACAAAAAACATAGCAGTATTAAATGAAGAGTAAAAGTATGCCCTTCCTGTACCGAGGTAACCACTTCTGTTTTTACTTTTAGTTCTTTTTTCTTTGCAAAAATTTTCATTGAGGTGTAACTCATAATATTCACCACTTTAAAATGTAAGTTCATTGGTTTTTAATATATTACAGTGGTGTGCAATCACTATCATTTAGATCACCCCAAAAAGAAACCCCATATCATAAGACCCAGGATTTCACAGGGAATTCTTATACATACACAGTACATAAAACAAAACTTTATAAATTGGGCATCATCAAAATTAAACACTTTTTTCTTTGACCAGTTTTCTCAGTGGTTAGAGCATCAGCCCGTGGACCGGTTCAATTCCCCGGTCAAGGGCACATATGTTGGTTGCAGGTCTAATCCTCCACCCCTGATTGGGGCACCACTAGGAGGCAACCAATTAATGTGTCTCACACATCGATGTTTCTTTCTCTCCCCCCTCTCCCATCCTTTTCCTTTTCTAAAAATCAATGGAAAAAATATTCTCATTGGGTGAGGATTAAATAAATTAAAACCTTTTGTTATGCCAAAGATATTTATTAGGAGACTGAAAAGACAAATTATGAACTGGGAGAATGTTTTTTGAAAATCATACACCTCATAAAAGAACTTGTATCCAGATTATATAAAGAAAATACAATGATAACCCAATTTTAAAAAGGAGCAAAAGATTTAAATAGACACTTTACCAGTTCAGTATTGTTAGCCACTAGGGAAATGCAGATTTAAACCATGATGAGCTATTATGCACCTATTAGAACAACTACAATTGGGAAAAAACAGTGACAATAGCAAGTACTGGCAAGAATACAAACAGCTAGATTCTTATACATTGCCAGTGAGAAAGCAAAATGAAACAGCCACTCTGGAAAAGTCAATCATAAAGTTAATCACACATTTCCAATATACCCAACTGTCCTATTCCTAGGTTTTTGTCCAGAGAAATGAAGGCTTATGTTTACACAGAAACCTATATGCACATGTTTATAGTTGTTTTGTTCTTAGTTATCAAAACCTGGGGAAAATCTGTCCTTCAATAGCTAATTGGACAAAAAAATTAATGGTTCAGCTATATAGTGGAATACTATTTAACAGTAAAAATAAATGAACTATTGATACACGCCTGGCCTTAGAGATTCACTAGGACTCGTGAATCAGTGTATAGATGTACACATGGCTAAGATTTATTACAGCAGCACAGTGAGGATACGAACTGGAAAAAGACACAGATAGAGTCTGGAAGAATCCATATGTAGGCTTCTTTATGCTTTCTCCCTTGGGAGAGTTCATAGCTTGGAAGATGTATTTTTAAAAAAATATGTTTTCATTGATTTTTATAGAGAGGAAGGGAGAGGGAGAGATGGAAACAGCGATGAGAGAGGAACATCATCAGTCTCTAGGTAATAGCGTTGCAAACACAGCATCAGCATCACTTATGTAGAAATCTGACTGATAACACATACCTTCAGTTAATCTAAGAAAACATCAGACAAAACCAAAATGATGGGCATTCTATTTTTTAAAGGCCTATATTCTTAAATATGAATGCCATAAAGATAGGAACTGTTCTAGATTAAAGATACATGGTAGCTGAAAACAATATGTGATGCTAGGCAGGGTCCTGTACTGAAGGGGTAAAATGCAATAAAGGATATTTTGGGTCAGATGACAAATTGGAATATGGATGGTTGATTAAAAAGTATATCAGTTTTTAACTTCTTGAGGTCGATGGACAGTACTGTGATCTATTGTTAGGAAACACATTGAACTACTTAAAGGTAAAAATCTGTGATGTGTGCAAACTTAATCTCAAATGGGTCAGAAAAGTGTACATGCGAGAGAGCAAATGATAAAGCAAATGAAGCAAAGATACAGGTGTTCTTTGTGCTAGTCATGCGTTCTTTTGGAACATTTATTCCAAAATAGAAAATTCAGAACAACAGGAACAACCCCAGCTCTTCATTTCAGTCTGTAGAGAAGTGTTTTCAGAGAGCCGTGCGCTGTGCAAAGGCTGCTGGAGGTGCTGCTTTGCCTGGGTGCCCCCTCTTTCTGTGGGCGTCACAGCCAGTCCTTGGCCCCTGAGAACCCGCAGGAGGGCGGCACGCCCTGGTGTGTAGAGCCAGCCTGCGGTGGGCAGCTTCTTGTCTTGAATGTGCCACTTACCTGGACAGCCTATTATTGTGTAGTGTAGCTTGACCTTTGAAAAGTATATTTGTCTTTCAGCCCAAAATGGAGTTAATCCTGACTGGGAGAAGAAAGTAATTGAATATTTTAAGGAAAAGCTGAAAGAAAATAATGCTCCTAAATGGGTAAGTTTGTTGCTCTTTGTGGGGGAAGATGGTTGGGCTGACTTCCAGTTTCTCTCAGTAGAGTTGTAATCTATATATAATTTTAAAATATATAAATTAATGTGTACTGCCTTCTGCCTTAAGTGCCGTAAGTACATATATATTAAAAGATTTTGGTCTCTTTTACAACTTAAATTTAAAATCAAGCAATTAAATGTTTCTGTATTGGGGCCTCTAGATGGCAGTAACTGACAGTGTTACTTTCTAAGACAAAAAAATTGGTAGTTGTGAGCTTTGATTATTATTTATTTAAAAAAATTGGCATGTACTAGTCTTTAAAAAAAATTTTTTTTATTGCTTTTTAAAGAGAGGAAGGGGGAAAGAGAGAGAATAAAACATCACCCTGGCTGGTTTGGCTCAGTGGATAGAACGTCAGCCTGCTGACTGAAGGGTCCTGGGTTCAATTCCAGTCAAGGACACATGCCTGGGTTGCAGGGTCAATCCCCAGTAGGGGGCATGCAGGAGGCAGCCGATCAATTATTTTCTCTCATCCTTGATGTTTCTATCTCTCTCTCTCTCTCTCTCTCCCCCTCTCTCCCTCTCTCCCTCTCCCTTTCTTTCTGAAACCGATAAAAATATTTAAAAAAGAGAGAGAGAGAATAAAACATCAGTGCGAGAGAGAAACATCAGTCATGTGCCGCCCTGACGGGATTGAACCTGCAGCCCTTTGGTGTACAGACGATGACGCTCCAACTAACTGAGCCTCACCGGACAGGGCAGCATGTACTAGTCTTAAAAGAAGAACTCAATAAAACAAATGCCTTTCTGCTACTCAGTGTTCAGAAGGAAAAGCATTTATTTTTACACTGTAGTCAAATGCCATTACACAAAGTTGGAAGAACTCGGAGGTACTCTTGTCAGCAGTTATGTTGACTATTGAGAACATTGGCTTCCTAATGGGGCTGAGTTTTGTGCCTGAGTTGCGGTTTGGGTGTGGATATAAAGTCTATGTGTGTATTTGAGCTTACTGTTTTATAGACAGACTGCCGTGTTCATTTTCCTTTAAGGTACCATCATTGAATGAGGTTCCTCTTCATTATTTGAAACCTAACAGTTTTGTGAAGTTTCGCTGCATGATTCAGGACATGTTTGACCCTGAGTTTTACATGGGAGTTTATGAAACGGTGAACCGAAACACAAAAGCACGTGTATGTATGGCTTTTTATCGTGGAACTTTCTGTTTATAATTAGTGTTTTTTATGGTATTTTTGAATTAGATGTATTGTTATAATACTCTTATCCTTTGTTTTGGGTCATAGGTCCTTCATTTTGGAAAATATAGAGATATAGCAGAATGTGGGGTATGTATTTTTAAGATCTATAAAACATTCTTAAGAATTTTTTTCTAAGAGGAGAATTTATTTCTTTTGGTTTATCTTAAATTTATCTTTGTATAAATAAATTCTAAGAAGTCATGTGGAATGCTTTTGCTCTTATTTTCTCTGTTATATTTTTGGTCTTCTAAAAATCTTTTAGAATGTGGAATGTTATAAATGACAAAACTAATTTGTTTCTTTTCTCAGTATCTATGTATTTGGTTAAAAAAATTACAGGTTGTGATAACTTCTTTAAAAAATGAAAGTGGAAGATTAACTGAGGGCTTAACACTTGCTTAATTAAGTTGGATCAAGTTCTGCTCTCTTTCCCTGGAAAGAAAATAGTTTTTAATAGACTTAATCCTTCTTTGATGAAAGGAAGCACTGGGTGCTCTCTTACATATCAATGATAGGAAGGGTAAGAAGGCAGAATCCTGGTGCAGTTATAGTTGTGAATGGGACAGTCTTAAGGTAGAAACTTAATATTAAGCAGTTACAATGGAACACAGTATATCTCCATTTTAAACAACTGCTTTTCTGATCATGAACAACATGCATAATTAAATTTAATTTCACAAAGAAACCTGTTCAACATACCTGGCATTATAACGCAACAGTTTAAAATTTATTTCTAGTTTAATAGTAGAAAAAGATTATCAGCATTTCAAAATAGATATGTCCGCCCCCAACGTCTCCCATCGTTTGCTCTCCCTGTGTTTTTCATGTGGTCCCATTGAAACAGCAATTGTAAATGTTGGGAAAGAAACCAAGTGTCCCAGGTGGGGATGGAGGAGGCAGGAGCTTGGGCAGGGCCTCAGGAGAAAGGTGGGCCCTCGGTGGAGCCACTGGGTCTAATTCTCTGCCTTGCAGACCATCCTTTTAAATCAGGTTTTCTAGGGCTTTTTTTCACTCTGGGAGTCTGGCTCTTGCTTACTCAAACCTCAAGAGATTGGTTTATAAAGCCTAATCCCAGCCCATTCATTCATACAAGTTCTTCCTCATTGAATTAAAGTGTTCTGGTTCATTGGTCCAGTCTGGACAGAACAACAACCCCAATTTGGAAGGTTGCTGAAAAGATTTTATTAAACAAAAATGTAACTTCCTACAATTATTTAGAGAAATGGACTCATGAAAGATGAATTTGTTTAATCTTACACATGATGACCTTCAGGTCTCCCAATGTCGTTTTTCTTTCAGAGTGTTTCCATAAGTAAAATGTTTGCCAAGTCGGACGAATCAACTTTTAAATGCTTACTGCATCTTTTGATTTAGGAGCCCTAACCCCCCTCATATGAGGCTAATTTTTTTTTTTTTAAAGATATTTTACTGATTTTTACAGGAGGAAGGGAGAGGAATAGAGAGTTAGAAACATCGATGAGAGAGAAACATCAATCAGCTGCCTCCAGCACACCCCCTACTGGGGATGTGCCCGCAACCAAGGTACATGCCCTTGACTGGAATCGAACCTGGGACCCTTGAGTCCGCAGGCCAATGCTCTATCCACTGAGCCAAACCGGTTAGGGCGAGGCTAATATTTTAATACACAACTTTTCCTGGTACACAGTAATGCAGTCTTACTATAGCTCAGTCATCGTAGTACCTGGGAATAGGAAAATAAAATAGATGTGACTGTCCATCTGTGACACTACCAAAGGCAAAGATAGTTCATACCGTGTGGCTTAAGATTCATACGTAAAAGCACCATCCCAGGAAAAGGGGACGTCAGGCCTGGAAAGAGAAACAGAAAACCCTGCTTATACATATGATCTCAGGCTCAAACCTGATGTCTTTTGGATCCTCTTTTTTCCCCTCTACAAAATGAAATATACATCTTAGTTTATTTTTAAGAGGATTTTTTGTACTATAAAGTTATGTGTTTATTAAAGTAGTTTTTAAATGTTACATATTGGGTCCTTTAACACTTTCTAAGCATATATGAAATAGAGAATATGCTTTTTTTAGGGAATAATAGCTGAGTCTTGGATTGCCTCTCAGAGCTACCTCGAAATGAGTATTTCATTAAATTCCTTTTATATAGGCTGATTCTGATATGTTTTCTATGAAAGAGATAGTGGGGTTACCATATGCTTTGTCTTTAAAAAAAATAAAGCACCCTGTTTATTAAAAGGATTTAATTTTGTAACATAGGGTGCTGTGTATTTTGAATTGAGGGAAGGTAATGTATTGATTATTGCTCACAAAATTATTTTTATGTCAGTTTTCTTTTAAAAAGTGATGGTTTGGATTTAGTTAGCTGCTTGTTAATTCAGTTAACTCAATGTGAAATAATTATGGTTTTATGGTAAATAGCATAAAAATGTGGTTGCTAAGTTAATTGTTTTGTTTTTCTTAATTTTTAAAAATACTTTTGTGTACATCACAGCCTCAACAAGAAGTTGATTTAAACTCTCCACGAACTACCACTTTGGAAAGACAGAATTTCTATTGTGTTCCAGTGCCTGGGGAATCTGTGTGGGTAAAAGAAATATCCTTTATCTGAACTTTCTTATTATGGTCCTTGATTATTTTAATTGAAAAGACCATAATTTAGATTGAGTTTTTAAAAACTTAGTCTTTTTATCCCAGTGAAGCTAACTGGAAAAAACCCTATAAAGCAATCTAAGTATTCATCCCTGAGAAGTGATAAAATTGGTACATTCCTATAGTGAAATACTGTTAAAAGGTTAAAGTAGATTTAAATATATTGAAAAAAAGAGTACCATGATAATTAAGTTAAAAAGTTTTAAATTACAACTAATTCTAATTTTCTTAAGGGAAAACAATATGTTAGTTCTTTTGAGAGGAGATTGTGGAAACTATTCATCTCATTTTTATTTTTTTATTTAAATTTCTAGTTAGTAATATTTTTTAGGCACAGTTGATATACACTGAAATGCATAGAGTTTAAGAGTACACGTCAGTGATTTATACCCCAAAGTGAAGAACTAGTGCCAGGAAGTTTCTTTCTGCCTTTTCTAGGATTGCAACCACTGTCCTGATTTTTCACCATAGCTTCCTCATGCCTGTTCTGGAATGTCGTAGCTTAGTTTTGGGATTCATTAAGGTGGGTTTGGAGTAACTTGCTGTATGGGACATAGTTCTTACTCATGCCGTGTGCTATTTCTGGGTCTCACCTAAGTGCCCGGAATGTTCAGCAGGGTCCAGTTCTAAGTGTTGTGCAACTTCCAGAACCTCCACTTAGCTCCTAGCCAGCCAGCAACTGTTCTTTGCTAGACTTCAAGGAATCTGGCCTTGTGCATCCGCTGTTTTATATTCAGCCAAAGACCCAAATGGAACCTGCACCGATTTCTGGGTCCTCTTCTGTCTTCTACAGGGAAACTCCTTCCCCCCCATAGTACCAGTCTGGGTTGTCTCTACCCAGCAAGAGATGCGTCTCCACTTCTTTTTTGTTGCGATTTAGAAAATGCCCCCTAGAGGGAGTTGGGGATAAAGTGGAGTTTACCCAGTATATTACTCATTCAAGGATCATAACATTATGCTCCCTGTTGTCTAATGATTGACAACAGACCCTAACCAGTTTGTCTCAGTGGATAGAGTGTGGGCCCACAGTCTGAAGGGTCCCAGCTTTGATTCCAGTCAAGGGCATGTACCTTGGTTATAGACTCGATGTCCGGGCATGTGTGGGGGACAACCAATTGCTGTGTCCCTCTCACATCTCTCTCTCTCTCTCTCTGTCTTTTCCTCTCCCTTCCACTCTCTCTAAAAAAATCATTGGAAAATGTCCTCGGCTGGGTGAGGATTAACAAAACAAAAAAAAGAGAGAAATAGCTGCTTCATGTCTTTTGTCCAGTGTTACAGTTCTTTACAGCAACGGTAGGTAGGGGGCATAAGTTAATCCATTAGCCTCTCATGGCCAATTCTGGAAGTCCAGCCTTTTTAAAAAAAATACATTTTTGTTTTGAGCAAATTGCCAAATTAGCAATCTTTTATTAGTCATGTAATTAACATAACTTAGGACATTCCTCAGTACATAGTGGTCTTTTTCTTAACTTTTTATTTAACGCCTATATTAATGCAAACCAAGCTCGAGTCAGTCCTTCAACATCTTACACTCCCAGTCGTCACAAGAGGAGTTATGAAGATGATGAAGACATGGACCTACAGCCTAATAAACAGAAAGAGCAGCATGCGAGTGCCAAACAAACAGGTAGTGTATGCTCACAGGTTTTCTGCAGACTTCTCTTTCATTAGGTTGTTTTCAGAATGAGCTGTTGTATAATACAGTTCTAGGTGTAGGAGCTGGCAATGATTTGACAACCTAGCTTTAATGGTTATCAGACTTGTAGATGGTTCTGTGCGTTTTTACAGTACCCTGGTCAGGCTGCAGTTAGGCATCCCGTAGGGAGAAGTGGCTGCTCTGCTGTCAGTTTTTAAGGGTCTCAAGTGGTTAGCTGAAAGGGGTCTTTTCTCTTTATTTCATTTTTATCTCAGCTCAACTACTACGGAAACAGAGTGGTTTATCCTAAAAATGATTTATTTATATCTGAAAACATTCTTCTTTTCTTTCAGAATAGTGGTGCTTTTAATTTAGTAAGACTGAAAATGTCAGGAAATTGTGATACATTCCTAAACTCTAAAGAAGATAGCCCTTAGAATGGTCACAGTTCTGATCTGTTTACATATGTTTGTAGTGGCTTCTTAAAACACAACTTATTCTGATTAGAACAAGGAGACAAAAAGTTGAAAATTTTCTCAAAGCAAGAGAGAATTTCGGAATTGGTATATCATTATTGATTTCACCAATAACAGTTTTTATGCATGGTGAATTTCTTTATTATGCCAGGTAGATAAGTTTGTCTTTTTTTCTCTTTTTATATTCAGTTATTTTTCTTCACCTTTAATTAGAGGACATGTTAGAGAGGAGGTAAAACAAATTTAGTTAATTGATCTCTGTCAGATTGGGTCGAGAGGGCAAATATGAATCAGTGGTAAACAAAAAATCACTAAAGAATTTCATTTAACCATATATTATTCTATTTTACTAGAGGCCCAGTGCACGAAATTGCACTTCGGGGGGCGGGGTGTCCCTCAGCCTGGCCTGCACCCTCTCACAGTCTGGGAGCCCACGGGGGATGTCAGACTGACAGCTTAGGCCCGCTCCCCATAGGAGCAGTCAGACATCCTTAGCACTGCCTCAGAAGCAGGAGAGGCTCCCGCCACTGCTGCTGCACTTGCCAGCTGTGAGCCCGGCTTCTGGCTGAGCAGTGCTCCACCTATGGAAACGCACTGATCTCCAGTGAGCAACTCCTGCATTGAGTGTCTGCCCCCTGGTGGTCAGTGCACATCATAGCGACTGGTTGTTCTGCCCTTCGGTCAGTTTGCATATTACCTTTTTATTATATAGGATAAGTTCATGTTACTGTCTTTCCTTAATGCTAAGGAATATTTTAATATCTTTAAAATTGGAATGTTTTACAGTAAATATATATAAATGTAGTGCTCTTTTTCTCCACCTACCCCAAATGTTTATTGAAATTAGTGGTGTATCATAACAATAAATGATAAAATCCAGATCTTTGGTAATTCTTATCATTTAAGCAATTGATTCTCCTATTTCTTGTCTGATTGTTTGAATGCCATACTGCTGGGCTTTTAATTTTTTATTTGAGTACATTATTTATGTAAAGTTTAACTTGTTGGTTTCTAGGCAGTCTTTCAGGTTATAAATAGTTTTAAACTTTTTCTGAGGTAAGAGTGGATTCACAAGCAGTTGTAAGAAATAACACAGAGATCTTGTATACCCTTGACCCAATTTTCCCCAGTGGTGACACCTTGTGTAATTACTGTAGAATATCATGACCAGAAAGTGGGCATTGAAACAATCCATTGACCTTGTTCAGAATTCACATTCTTTACAGGCATCTGTGTGTGCGTATTTAGTTCTTTGCAATTTATCACACGTGTAGATTCGTGTGCCCACTACTATAGTTAAGATATGGAGCAAGTCGTTACTTGACTTCTCATATTGCCCTTTTATAAGCATGCCCATCTCTCTCCTGCCTCTGCTCTCCCTCCCCAAGTCCTTAGCCCCTGGCAACCACTAATCTATTCTTCATCTCTGTAATTTTGTCATTTCAAGAATCCCATATAATAAAAAGCTAATATGCTAATTAGACCAAACAGCAGAACAACCGTCTGGACGACCTTCTGGACAAAGCCGGGGCTGTGAGGGCCTACCCTTGCATGAATTTCATGCATCAGGCCTCTAGTGTTATATAAATAGAATCTTACAGTATGTAAACTCTGTGATCAACAGTTTTCATTCAGCAACATTCCCTTGAGATCCATCCAAGTTGTGTGTGTCAGCAGTTTATTTCTTTTTATTGCCGAGCAGTATCCTGTGGTATGGCAGGCTATATATTGATTCTAATTAGTTATCAGCCCTAAACTGATTATTTCAGGGCTAGAGGCTCTCTTTTAATCATCTTTGTATCCCCAATCACTAGTATGATTCCTGGTACATAGTGGATGTTAATAAATGCTTGGTAAGTGAATTTATTGCTATATGGTTTTATTCTGCTTAGAAGTAGGAAACTGTTCTACCAGGGTGGTTCTGTTGTCAGTAGGCCATATATGCCTTAGGTCAGAGATGTCAAAGAAACCATATTAAATATTAACTTTTAAAAATACTTATACTGAAATTTGATGGGGGGAGTTTGTTGCCATTTTATTGTAGGAGAAACAATGACTCAATTTTCCAGATCATCATAATCTGTGTTTTCTTTATAAGTCAGAGAAAGGGCTTTGCTAGTATGTGTTATTTCCTTAAGAACAGTAACAAGTTTGTGAGCTCAGAAGCATCCTTTATATCAAACTTGAAATGCTCCTGAGGGAAGGTTCTTTATCTGCAGAAGGCCCTAGAAATGACGTGAGTGCAATGCTCGCTTCCCTTTGTCCTAGGGAGTGTTGGCGGTCTTCAGGGGTGTGGCGAGCCAAAACGTCTAGAAACTGAAGCTTCTACTAGACCACAGCTGAGCTCCTTGAACCTCTCTTCTCCTTTTGACCTGAACTTCCCACTGCCAGGAGAGAAGGGCCCTGCGTGCCTTGTGAAGGTAAACCTTTCACAGACCGGACATTGACATAGACGTGTTCTGTGTCTCGGAAATTAAAATGGAAAATTCTTAGTGTTTGTGTTAGTTTCCTATTGCAAACTTGGTGGCTTAAAAGAATACAAATGTACCCAGGCTTTTAGATGAGAAGTCCGACATGGACCTTCCTGGGGGAAATCCCGTGTCAGTGGGGCTGCGTTTCTTTCCGGAGGATCTGTTTTTGTTTGTTCGTTTGTTTGTTTGTATTTTTCCTGTTACTGTTTCTACAGATGCCCACCTTCTGGGTTTGTGGTCCCCTCCTCCATCTTCATAGCCAGCAACAGTGCATCTCTCTGACCATTTTCCTTTTTTATAATACCTGAGGATATTTTTCCATTGATTTTTCGAGAGAGTGGAAGAGAGAAATATCTATCGATGTGAGAGAAACACATCGATTGGTGCCTCCTGCACAAGTCCCGACCAGAGCCCAGGCCGGGGAGGACCCTGCAACCAAGGTCTGTGCCCTTTATCAAAATCGAACTCGGGACACTTCGGACTGCAGGCCAAAGTTCTATCCACTGAGCCAAACCAGCTAGGGCTGACCATTTTTTCATAGTCACATCTGACCGTAGGTAGGAAAGATTCTCCAACTTTAAGGCACAGTGTTATCAAATTAGGTCCACCCAGATAATCCAGGGTAATTTCCCCATCTCCAGTTCCTTAATTTATGCAAGTCACTTCTGCTTTTAAAAATAACATATTCACAGACTTTAGGGATTCGGGGGGACATCTTTGGGAGGTCCATTTTTCTGTCTACCATAGCATTCTTAAAGAATATTTCATTTTGGCCAAGGTGGCTCGGTTGAGTATTGACCCGTGAACCAAGAGGTGGGCACATGCCCAGGTTGCGGGCTCAATTCCCAATAGGGGGTGTGCAGGAGGCAGCTGATTGATGTTTCTCTCTCATCTATGTTTCTATCTCTATCTCCTTTTCCGTCTCTCTAAAATCAATAAGAATATTTTTTTTAAAAAGTATTTGTCAGAAGTGGAACAATATTTTAATTCATGTCTATTCCCTTCCTATATTGTTTTTAACTTTCTAATACTATTTTCACCATTCTTCTCTTACCAAAATCCATTTCTCATTTGCATTTAAAATAGATGAAAAAAATTTTAATAGCTCCCGTATCTTGCTTATCCCCTTTTTAATCCTGATAAGTGAACAAGTGATATATGTTTCAGAATTGATCGATGAGAATCCATTTTTATTTGTTGTGGTTTTAACTTTAATGACACGTATGTAACACGAGGACCAGAATCCCAGTATTTTTCCTGCCATACTTATATCGAGTGTCACCAAGGGGGCTTTGATAGTTATTAAAGACCATCATGGCGTACAACTTTGAAAGTTGGTTTTTTTATAGTGAAAGACCTCATGGCCAATCTAAGTTTTTTGTTAACCTCTTAATCCTGTGTTTTGTTTCCCCTTCTTTGGGTACGGGCGGTAGATTTTAAGATTGTGCATGTTTCTGGTTTTAGTTGGAAACTAGAGGCCCAGTGCATGAATTCGTGCACCAGTGGTGTCCCTCGGCCTGGCCTGCAGGGATCGGGCCACAACTGGCTCTCCAACATCCCCCAAGGGTCTCGAATTGCGAGAGGGCACAGGCCAGGCCAAGGGACCCCACCCGTGCACGATCGGGGCCGGGAAGGGATGCGGGAGGTTGGCCAGCCGGGGAGGGACCACAGAAGGGCTCCAGGGCGTGTCCGACCTGTCTCGCTCAGTCCTGATCAGCAGGACCCCAGCAGCAAGCTAACCTACTGGTCAGAGCATCTGCCCCCTGGTGGTCAGTGCACATCATAGCGACTGTTTGAATGATCGGACGGTTGGAGGGACAATTAGCATATTAGGCTTTTATATATAGAGATCATCCTTGCGGGGAAGCCTCTCCTTTGTAGTGTGCTATATTGAAGATACGTTGGTCGGGGATCAGGGTTCCCCCTTTTACTTCACTTATTTGCTAACTAGAAGAATGACTTCAGGCAAGCACTTGACCTCCCTTGGTCTCAATTTATGAAACAAAAGAGTTGTTCCACTCTCTCTAAAGTTCTATGATATTATTACTTTATATCAAGACTGATATCTTACACTTCGTTGGTGTTATTTAGTCCTAACAACACAATGTCATGTGGCCTCTTATTAGGTCTATGAAGATGGGGATTGTTTCAAAGTAAATGATGTTCTTGAGTTGTATGGCATCCTCTCTGTGGATCCTGTGCTAAGTATACTGAACAATGATGAAAGGTGAGTCTTTTGTTCTTTTTTTGTGGGGGGCGGATAACTAATAATTAGCAGGATAGAGAAGAATAAATTTTCCGCACACTGAATAATAGATACCTGATGGCTTTTGAGAAAAAGACCCAGGTTTTTGAGACCCTCTGTGACATTTGACGTTCCAGCTGGTAGCTCCAGAAAGAGTCTGTTTTGAAATGACCTAGTGAGTAGCCAGACTGTATCCCGTTGAGTCAGGTGACAGCACACAGAGCACAAACATTGCTCGGCTTGAAGAAAGGAATGAGTACGTGTATCATCACATGATCCATCCCGCCTGAGATCCGGGAGGTGACAAAGGGGAGCCATGTTCTGGTTTTTTAAGATCCACAGGTAGAACTTGTTCTTGGCTTGAATTCTCATTTTTTTCAGAGATGTACATTATTGTTACATCTCTGTAACGGGCGTATCTGTGAGTTGAAGTGCTGTCCCTCTCCGCAGGGACGCCGCGTCACTCCTGGATCCGATGGAATGCACAGACACAGCCGAAGAACAGAGAGTGCACAGTCCTCCTGCTTCACTAGTGCCAAGAATTCATGTGGTTTTAGCCCAGAAGTTGCAACACATCAACCCACTGTTGCCGGCCTCCCTTAACAAAGAGGAGAGCAAAACCTGTAAGTGTAAGTGACCCCGAGATGTCCCCGTGTGTCGGGAGCTACGTGTGACGTGTGCTCGTGGGGAACTGAGTCAGCAGGGTCTTGTTCCTCGAATGGCCACTGTTTCTTTGCCCCGTTGTCCTTTAGGTTAATTAATTCTCTTCGTTAAAGTCTTGACACGTATACTGACTTGTAGTGGGTTTGTTCCGCAGTTACCTTTTAACCTAAAACACTCGAGAGGAACTGGTATGTTTATTCTGAATCTGGTCTCCTTTCCTTCTCCAGTTGTTTCAAGCTTCATGTCCGAATTGTCTCCAGTCAGAGCAGAATTGCTTGGGTTTCTCACACATGCCCTTTTGGGAGATAGTTTGGCTGCTGAATACCTTATACTACATCTCATCTCTACGGTGTAAGTGCTATATTCCTGGTGGGGATTGCGAGAGTTGGTGCTTTGTTAAAAGGGGGGAAGAGCAGGGAGGTTTCTGAGGATTTCATCATCAAGTCATTTTTATTTGTTCAGGGTAATGAGTGTTACACCAAATTAACGACAAAGTCCTTTTTCCACCTCTTCTCAGTTTCACATTGAGCATTTTGATGTTCTCTTTCCATTTAAGAGCCGATCCTATGTAATAAAGAGCTAATATGCTAATTAGACTGAACAGTAGAATGACCGTCTGGACAACCTTCCAGACGAGGCTGCGAGGGCTGAGCTCCTTGCACGAATTTCATGCATTGGGACTTTAGTATCAGATAAAGGACATGGCTGATGAGTAAAATGAACTGTTTTATCCTTTTTGTATTCGTTATTCTCTAACAGTCAACGAGGTCTGTTGTGTGCACATCTAACTTAGTTGTGGATGTGAGCACCCCTTGCTTTCACGTCACTATAGTTCTTTGTTTTCTGGTTTCAAAAGTAATATGTGTGGGGGAAAAAAAGTAGTATGTGTGCCTTCAACCAGTTCCAAGAGCATAAAGAGGAAAATAGAAATAATCTATAATCTCACCATTTAGAGATCATCTCAGTTATTAACACATTTTGGTACACGTTCTTGTCATTATTTTTGTTTACATTTATATACATTTCTGCATAGAACTCAGTTGTAATCTAAACACAGATCCATACCTTGCTCTTATCATTTAATATCTATTAAACATTATCCCGTCATAATACTTTTTTTTGAGGATTTTTTTTTCATTGATTTTTTTAGAGAGAGTGGAAGGCAGGGAGGGAGGGAAGAAGGGAGGGAGAGAAATGTTGATGTGAGAGAGACACATCGATTGGTTGCCTCCTGCACCCATCCCGACTTGGGCTGGGGATTGAACCTGCAACTCAGGCATGTGCCCTGGACTGGGAATCAAACCCTTGATCCTTCAGTCTATGTGCTGACAATGCTCTTAACCACTTGAGCAAAATCAGCCAGGGCCATTTATTCTTGATGAACTTTTTAATGGCTGTACAATATTTCATTGTAGACAGTTGTACTGTTTCCCTAAATGCTAGGTTTTCCTATTTTTTCTCTATTTTGAACTATACCACAGTAAACATCTCTGTGCTGTAAGTCTTTGCTCGAATAGAATTTGACACAGTGATATGTAATGGTTGCAAGCACAGACTCTGGAACCAAACACCTGTGTTCAAATCCTAGCTCTTCTACTTCCTGGCTATGTAAACTCGGTCATATTACCTAAACTTTCTCATCTGTAAAACAAAGGTAATAGTACCTACTTCAGAGTGTTTAAATGAGAGGATTAAATGAGAAAGCATTTAAGCACTCAGAACAGTCCCTGGCACATAATCAGCACTCATGTAAGTATTGGCTGTTATTTTTACTGCTGTTATTCTGATAAATAAAATAATTTCAGAGTAATCTATCTTTCGTGATACTATTAAGCTAATTTTCCCATGTTTGCTTTTTGATGGAAATCACCTGAGTATCTTATTGGTTAATATCTTTTTTTTTTCTAGATATACAAGAAGAGACGTTCTTCCACTAGGAAAATTTACGGTTAACTTGAGTGGTTGCCCACGGAATAGTACCTTCACAGAACACTTGTATCGAATTATTCAACATCTTGTTCCAGCAGTAAGATCATTATAAATACATATTACAGATCTGAGCACACTTGAAAAATCCATCTAAATGTCTTTCATTCAGCCCAAATATTTATCTTTGAGGTTTTAGTAGGTGTCTTTACAAGGAAGCAAGGCCTGCCGGACTCTATAACTTAAAATGTACTCGCCTCTAAACATTCACTTTTGTTGCCTTAGCAGCAATTTCTGTAAATGTAACAATGAGCCCAATTGCAGTTACTCGCTCAGAATTGTACTCTCAGTTGAGGCCACGTGCTTGTGGAATTTGGTATCCTTTGTGTGCCTCTGAACACCTGCCTCTTTAATATCTTGTTCACAACAGGCCGAGTGAGTAACCTGCTCATGTGGCGCAGGGCCATCTTTGGGCTCACAGCCATCTTTTGTTTGGACAAGATGCTGCTCTTAGCGGTGGTTTGCTTGTGTCTATAATGTGGCCTCCCTCCCTCATTTTCTTTGACGTCAACGAAGCCAAAGTACAAAAGTCTCTCCATTTTGAAAATATACCTTATCTCTTCCTCGACATCCTTCTCCCGCACCCCCCCCCCAACACTGCCGTTTAGGGAGGGAGACAGAGAGCAGATAGGAGTGAAGAGCGGGTGCAGAGGGCGCTGGGGCGGTGGGCTCTGGGAGATGGGTGAGGAGGCAGGTGCAGAGGGCGCTGGGGCGCTGGGCTCTGGGAGATGGGTGAGGAGGCGGGTGCAGAGGGCGGTGGGCTCTGGGAGATGGGTGAGGAGGCGGGTGCAGCCGGGTGGAGCGAGTAATGAGACCCAGCGCCCAGCACAGCTCAGTGTGCTCTGCTCCTTGGTTTTTCTTGAAACAGTTTATTCAAGAATCTGTAGGATATGAATGAATGTGGTTTAAATTCAGGGAGCATAGAGGGAAACTAGGCTTTTCTCTCCCTATCTTGATGAGTAAATAAACATTTTATTTTCTATTTTGTTGCCCTGTGCACTTAAGCTGCTGGATATTTGTTTTTAGTTCTCTGGTAAAATAAGAATCTTTAAGAATACTGAGCAAGACAGTTGAGAGTAAAGCAGCTCAGAGTCAGTGAAATTATTTTTTAGGATGTAGATAATCGTTTTTGCTTAAAAGGGCTCAAGAAAACATGAGATTCCTCTTGGGAGTTGATAGGTTCTTTCCATATAAACACGGTGTTTAACTCCAAATATATGTTTTCTTAAAACAGGAAACTTAGTTCCTTGCTCATTAAAAAATTTCTCTTTGCAGTCTTTTCGTCTGCAGATGACTATAGAGAACATGAACCATTTGAAATTCATTCCCCACAAAGACTATACAGCCAATCGCTTGGTCAGTGGGCTCCTCCAGCTACCCAGCAACACTTCCCTTGTAATCGATGAAACTCTCCTGGAGCAAGGCCAGCTTGACACCCCAGGTACGTACGTGGGTGTTTCCCTTCCATTTGTAACCTCCTGTCAAAGCCAGATCTGGTAATGACTTCTTAAAAGAATAACTAAACAAATTGACATCTCAGAAATATTTAAAGTAAAGGCTTGCCATATGAATTTAAAGCATATAGTATAAGTATAAATTGTGTACATCCACTATATGTTGTTATATGAAAATTTACAGTTTAGACCAAATTAACAATGATAGAACATTAAGTGAATAGCTTTAAAGATAAAAAGAGGTTTTGCCTTTAGTCATATATTATCTTTAAAAAAAGTGTAGAAAAGATGTAATAAAACATTTTTACTGCCCAATATGAAGTTTAAAATGTTTATTTCAAAGCATCTCTGAAAAAATAAAAAGCTTAGTAGATCATATGGTTTGCACTGAGCCCAGTTATGGAGCATTATAAAATTACAAGGGCCCGGCTGGTGTGGGGCAGTGGTTGAGCTTCGACCCAGGAACCAAGAGGTCATTGGTTTGATCCCCCGCCAGGGCACATGCCCAGGTTGTGGGCTCGATCTCCAGTAGCAGGCGGACAGGAGGCAGCCAATTAATGATGTCCCTCTCTCATCGATGTTTCTATTTACCCCTCTCCCTTCCTCTCTCTCTAAAAATCAACATAAAATAATGTCTTTGCAGTGGTTGAGCTTCAACCCAGGAACCAAGAGGTCACTGGTTTGATCCCCCGCCAGGGCACATGCCCAGGTTGTGGGCTCGATCTCCAGTAGCAGGCGGACAGGAGGCAGCCAATTAATGATGTCCCTCTCTCATCGATGTTTCTATTTACCCCTCTCCCTTCCTCTCTCTCTAAAAATCAACATAAAATAATGTCTTTTTAAAAAAATAAATATTTTATTGATTTTTTACAGAGAGGAAGGGAGAGGGATAGAGAGTTAGAAACATCAATGAGAGAGAAACATCTATCAGCTGCCTCCTGCACACTCCCTACTGGGGATGAGCCCGCAACCAAGGTACATGCCCTTGACCGGAATCAAACCTGGGACCCTTGAGTCCGCAGGCTGATGCTCCATCCACTGAGCCAAACCGGTTAGGGCAAGAAATATCTTTTTAAAAATAAAATTATAAGGAAGCAGATAGCTTTACCTGTGCTCAAATGACATGATGCTGGTGATAAGTTCAAGAGGAAAAGAGAATTAAAAACAATGTTGACTGGGTACACATATGGCAAAAGTGGATGGTAGCAAATCAGTAAAATTCTGTAACCTTATCCCTGTGGATAAATATAATTTTAGTTCTACCGTATTATTTTAGCCTTCTTGAACACACCACCTAGAAAGTAATCATACTTATTTGGGAACCTATTTTTTGCCTAATTGCATACCAGATGTTAGGTATCAGATACCATGTGGGAAGTATTACCTAATGAACACTTAGCTTAGTAAATTGGACAGTGCTTTATATACTCTTTTAAAGCAGTAGAAGAAACCTCGTGTCTTATAATCAGTGTCAGCAAAACTAATTTGTTTAGGTGATTAAAATCAAATGACTGAAAAATTATTTTCCTGCTTTTCTAGGTGTTCATAATGTGACGGCCCTGAGCAACCTAATAACTTGGCAGAAGGTGGATTATGATTTCAGTTACCACCAAATGGAATTCCCCTGCAATATTAATGTTTTGATTACTTCGGAGGGGAGATCACTCCTACCTGTACGATGAGTTATTCTTAAATGGAGGGAGGTTATATTGGAAAGATATTCATATATTCTTTGTCTCTTGGTTACTGCATATTACTTCAGAATTGTAGCTGCTGATTATTAATAAGGGAATTGATTATTTTGTTTCTGCCTTGGAATGAAACTCTTAGATCTACGAAGAATCAGTTATCAGCAAATCACAAGATAAGCAAAAAAAGCTGTTGGGGTAGTAACTCCCACATCTAGGTATAGAAAGTAGAAGCTGTCAGTAACTTGCCTGATTAATATCCACACCTTTGTTCTTGCTGCCTCTGTCCCATTGATTTCTGCCAATCTTATGTGCGAAGTATTTTAGAGTTCCTTTTAAAGTGTTCCTAATCCATCTGATGATGATTATTTTTTGCTTGATGGTGAAATTCTCTGGTAAATCATCAGTGTGACTGACAGCTCTTACTGATGGGAAATATGCTATTCAAAAGGCATCAAAGTTTCTGTGTATCATAAATCACATATGTTCACTTGTGATGTATGAGACAACTACCTGTGAATGAGGATGAAATGGCCCTTGGTAAGTTTTCCGTGGGAAAGTGTGATTAAGATACAGATTACATATTCTCTGGTTAAGAAAACATCTAAAACATTTTAATTAGCTGCTTTTCACACACTGGTGCTACCTTACGTGTTTGCTGATACTGGTGAGGAAACATAAGTAACCAAGAAAAGGCCAACTTTTGTAATTACTGTTGAGGTAGAGATTGTGTATGTAAATTAATGTGTAAAGTGACCTCCCCCCAATAATAAATAGTAGTTTTAATTCTCTTAGGGCCTGGTAGAGATGATGCATCTATTCTTCTGAAATTTTAGATTAATTTAAGAACTTGGAAAATACTGTGTACTATTTCTCTTTTTAGGCAGATTGCCAGATCCACCTACAGCCACAGCTAATTCCCCCAAACATGGAGGAGTACATGAACAGCCTTCTCTCAGCCGTGCTGCCTTCTGTGCTAAACAAGTTTCGCATTTACCTGACCCTTTTGAGGTTCCTGGATTATAGCATATCTGATGAAATAACCAAGGTATGTTTGGGATAAGATAAAGGATTTCCCTGTGTTGAATGAAAGTATTTAATCAATTTACATTTATTGTATTTACTGATAAGGTAATTTTGCCATTTGTTTTCTATGTCTTATGTCTTTTTTGTTTGTCTCTTTCTCTGTTATTGTCTTGTGTTTGAAATAGATATTTCTTTTTTTAAAAAAATATTTTTTATTGATATTTTACAGACAGGAAGGGAGAGGGATAGAGAGTTAGAAACATCGATCAGCTGCCTCCTGCACACTGCCTACTGGGGATGTGCTCGCAACCAAGGTACATGCCCTTGACTGGAATCGAACCTGGGACCCTTGAGTCCGCAGGCTGACGCTCTATCCACTGAGCCAAACCGGTTAGGGCTAGATATTTCTTGTATACAATTTTAATTTCTATGTCTTTTATAATTTTTTTTCTTAGTTGTCTTGGGGGCTACAATTAACATCTTAACTCTTAACTGTAACCATCATTTGGGGATTAATGCCAATTTAATCACAGTAGTACACAGAAACTTTGTTCCCTTACAATTTCATTTTCTCCCTTTGTGCTTTATTATCATACAGATTACATCTGTATACACTCTATGCCCATCGACGTTCATAATTATTGGTCTATACAGTTGTCTTTTAATCAGAGGGAAAAGTTACAAAAGAAAAGTCAGTTATACCGCCTTCTATATTTATTTGTATAGTTCCCTTTACCAGTGATCTTTATGTGCCTTCGAGTTACTTTGCAATGTTGTTTTATTTCAGCTTGAAGAATCTCTCAATATTCCTTGTAGGGCAGATCAGCTCATGACAAATTCTCTCTACGTTTTTTTGCTTATCTGGAAATGTCTTTATTTCTCTTCCATTTTTGAAGACTAGTTTTTGCTGGATGTAGAATTCTTGATTTGTAGACTTTCTCTCAACCCTTTTGGGTTATTTAAAAAGCAATATGTCGCCTTAGCTGGTTTGGCTCAGTGGACAGAGCGTCGGCCTGCTGACCAAAGGTTCCCAGGTTCGATTCTGGTCAAGGGCATATGCCTGGGTTGTGGGCTCAGTCCAACATGCAGGAGGCAGCCAATCAATGATTCCCTCTCATCACTGCTGTTTCTATCTCTCTCTTCCTTTCCCTTCCTCTCTGAAATCAATAACAAAATATTTTTTAAAAAATAAAATCAGATAAAAAGCAATATGTCCTCCCACTGTCTTGTGGCCTTCATCATTTCTGATGAGAGGACCCGCTGTACACGAGTCATTTTTCTCTTGTTCTTTCAAGTTTCTCTCTCTGGCTTTTGACATTTTAACTGTGGTGTGTCTAGGTGGGAATCTCTGAGTTTTCTCACTTGGAGTTGAGCATCTTGGATGTGCAGATTAATGCACATTTTGGGAAAGTTTTCAAGAAATTTGGTAAGTTATGAGACCATTGTTTCTTTAAGTTACTTTCTTCCCCCTTCCCTCTGGCACTCCCCTGTGTAAGTGTTGGCACCCTTAACGGTGGCCTACAAGCCTCAGGCTCTGTTCATATTTCCTCATTCTTTTTGCTTGCCGTTCCACAGACTGGACAATCTCAGTTGTCCTAACTTCAAGTTTGCTGAGTCTTTTTCTGCCTGCTCAAATTTGCTGTTGCCTTTCTAGCTAATTTTTGATTTGTTAATATTTTTCAACTTCAGAATTTCTATTTGCTTTTTTAAAAAATATTTTTTATTGATTTCAGAGAGGGAGGGGAAGGGAAAAACAGAAACATCAGTGATGAGAGAGAATCATTGAATGGCTGCCTCCTGCACGCCCCCTCACTGGAGATTGTGCCCACAATCCGGGCATGTGACCTGACCAGGAATCAAACCATGATGTCCTGATTCATAGGTCAATGCACAACCACTGAGCAACACTGGCTGGGCTCTATTTGTTCCTCACCTGAGGCTGTTTTCCATTGATTTTTAGAGAGAGGGAAAGACAGAGAAATATCAATGTGAGAGAAACACGTCGATTAGTTGCCTCCTGCACGCACCTGACCAGGGCCCAGGCTGGGGAGGAGCCTGCAACCAAAGTATGTGCCCTTGACTAGATTCGAATCCGGGACTCTTTGGTCCACAGGTCGTCAGTGCTCTATCCACTGAGCCAAACTGGCTAGGGCTGGCTCTGTTTTCAAAGTAATTTCTATTGATATTTTCTATTTAGCAAGACATCATTCTCATGTTTTCCCTTATTTATATGTGGTTTCCTGTAGTTCTTTGAATATATTTAAAATGGCTGGTTTCAAGTTTTTGTCTAGTAAGTCCAGTATTTGAGTTTCTTCAAGGACAATTTCTATTAACTTTTTGTCCAATGAATGAGGTTGTACATTCTTATTTCTTTGTATGTCTCCTAATTTTTGTGTTGAAAACCAGATATCTGTATGTATAAAAGCCAAGTGACCAGAATGACCGGTTGCTATGACACTGTGGCCTGCCAGCCAACCTCCTGCGGCCCCTCCCCCCAGCCGGCCCGACCCCACCCATGCACAAATTGGTGCACTGAGCCTCTAGTTTTAAATAATATAATGTGACAACTCTGCTGACAGATTCCCTCCCTCTCTAGGGTTTGTTGTTCTATAATGACTTTCTGAATCCTATAGTTTGGTTGTATGTGGGCACTGAAGTCTGCCCTCTTAACTCAGTGGTCACTCAATGAATGGGTAGAAATTTAATTTCCCTAGATGCCTATTAGCAATATGTCTCCCAATCTAAGTCCTGTATCCATGTTGGGGCAAGCCTTCAACACTCAGCCATGCAGATTACAACTGCTCTATCCTTCCTTCATTTTCTGCTTGCATAGAGACTCAAGGTTATTCCGAGGTGAGAGCTTAGGGCCTGCTCAGATCTGAGCATGCACACAGACCTGTGCAAGCATGTGACCTTCTAAATCCTTAGGAATTGATTTATATAGCTATCGCGCACGCGCACACACATATGGACATCTCATTCCCTGTTTTTCCTTTTAAGGAATTTGGCTAGCCAGTGCCCGAGGCAGCCAAGATGTTCAATAATTGCTTCTGATTTTTTTAAAATGCCTTGGGAGAAGAGGCTGTTCACACTGGGCAAGCCCCATGTCAGGTTAAAGACAACCTTACAGATGGGTTCTTCCAGGGAACCACCAAATGATAATTCCTGAATGGTGCTTTGGGAGACCTCAAGCCCCACTACCTCTTCAGTGGTTGCCAGGCGGGACATTCTCAGGGCTGCCTAGGTGGGGTGAGGGTGGGGAACAGAGCACGTTAAAATTTCTCAAAGCTCAGTGTTCTTACTGCCTTTCTTGAGTAATGCTCCTCAGATTGCTGCAAGCCTCTGGTTAATTTCCAGAGCTTTGATGAAGCTGATTTTGACCATTTTTACTAGAGTTCTTATTCCCTTTAATGGAATTTTCTGAGGTCCTTGTTCTGCCATTTTTACTGACATCATCTTCCCTGTTTACAGGCATGTTTGCCTGATCTTATTTTGTTTGGAATACTTTCATCGGTAACATTATTTATATGTATTGTTTGGTTCTCAATCATTTCATCCATGTTATCTAATTTTTCTAAAAAGCAGGGCTGACTTCATTTTTACATCAGTCAAGGGACCATGTTAGTTTTCTTTTCCCTATTAAATGCAAATGTCATTTCCTCTTTTGATAAAGGCAGTTGAAGATGACTTTGTGGAAATGCGCAAGAATGACCCTCAGAGCATCACTGCTGACGATCTCCACCAGCTGCTCATTGTCGCTCGGTGAGTAGGACATGTCCATAATTGCTTAACGTAAGCTATGAATAAAGCCCCTAGTTTATAGAAATGAACTTTTTCCTTTTAAAAACCCTTGTGAAGTGGCTCATTGAAGTGAAATTGCATTTGGCCGGTGATCACTTCAGTGGAACCAGGCATGCTTCTCAAAGTGAGTCATCTCCCAAATTTGACTTAAAGGATTCCTTTGTAGACATCGAACTTGGTTCTTGACCTCTTTGTGGCCCTGCCACAGGTCTTGTTCCTAAACTAGTATTCCTAGGTCTAGACTTAAATTTGTTTCTTATCTCAAACCAGGTTTCTGTCTCTCAGTGCTGGTCAGACAACACTGTCAAGAGAACGATGGCTAAGAGCAAAGCAGCTTGAGTCTTTGAGAAGAACTAGGCTTCAACAGCAGAAGTGTGTGAATGGAAATGAACTTTAAACATCTGATACCTATCGAAGAGTAATGGGCAAATTACAGCCACATTCTTGTAAAATGCAAGTATCATTTATACCATTGTTTTGTAGATACTTTGTATTAAAAACCAAGGACTTTTCCTGAAATCAAGCCTGGTAACATCTGAAGTTTATATAATATTCAGTAAGGACTTTTACCTTACTGATTTTATGGAGCTTTTCGAGTTTGTTTTATAATTATATAAATTAGTAATGTACAAAACTGTATTTGATATTAAAAGTTTAATATTGATAACATTGCTGCTTATACCATTTCCTTAGCTGAAGCTAAGTTATAGGCCAGACTTTGTTCATATGAAAATAGTTGCAATTCCATTCAGGAATTGTTCACTTAAGATTTTTTACGTCTTTCCAATTAACAGTGGATCTGAATGTGTTTTGTGATCACGTTTGGGAAATGATACTATAGAATTTCACATGATTTCCCAAACGTTTGACCACAGAAGCTTTTTTTCTATTTAACAGTTGTTAATCTGCAACACTAGTCTTTAACGTGGCAGTGGTTCCCATACTTTGAGTTCATGGACCAGTAATATTTCCCCAAATTTTGGGATGGACAAGGATGCCAAGTTATCTGAAAGAAATCACTGTATTATTACTTTTTTTTTTCATGAGGACAATCTTAAAACAAGATAGTCCTTTAAGTGGAATAAATGTAGCTTTTTAAAAAAATACTCCATTGTCCTTATTTTTCTCATTTCACCCCAGTACATTTGGGAACCACTGTTTTATGGCACTCACTTAAGGAAATTCTACCCTACTAACTTGTTTTTCCTAAATATGAGGAGAGTAAAATAGTTAATTTTTAATTTTAAGAAATGTCTTCTTTAGGAAAAAGGTTTTTATCTTTTCCTAATGTCATTTACTTGCTTTGATGATTGTATTAGATTTTGAACTTTATTAGATTAACTAACATTATCTGCTCGTCCAGAACACCATGATAAAACGAAGTAGGCTTTCCCCAGACCAGTTACAGTTCTCACATACAGCAAGTTTTCAAATGAACAAAAACATCATTGTTCATAGTATAATTGTGGCTCCCAGAATATTTGGAGAGGTTAGAACATCACTTAAGCTGTGGTTATACATAATTATTTTTAGTCAGTGACTTACCTAGTTGGAAACATTAATGGTTTAAATGATTCCTTAAATTCCACCCCCAGGTCTAAATTGACATTGTTAACCAAGGAAACAGGGTGAGCCTTGAAAATCAAGGAATTTATTATGCCTAGCAAATGGGATTATTAGTTTAACTTTTCCTAAACTCAAATCTATTTTTTATAAACTAATATAATCAGTTTATATTTAGTATTCTAACTGGTTTTCATTTTTATAACTGGTAGACTAGACCATCCTTGAACTTTTAGGAAATGAAACCTCACCTGGATTTGTGGGAATAAAATTCAAGAGATTAGTTACCGTGTGTTTATTGTGCCAATGTGAATTGTAGTTTACCAAAGAGAAGTACTAAGTAGCTTGGTCTGGCAGAGAAGTTCCCTTGAAAGGAAAACCCTTCCAGAGAACTGAAGCTCTTCCCATGTGCCCTGTGTGGAGGAGATGCTGTGCCCTCAGACTCCAGTGAGCAGGTAGGAGAGAGAACCTTGGGCTTCAGAAACCCTTTCCTCCCTTGCTATATACACGTGGACATTAAAGTTGTCAATCTAACGTGATTTTAACCCTATTTTTGAATCACCAGAAAACTAAATGAATATTATAGAAAACTTACCTTGCTTACAAATTCTTTAATCCCATTCAAAAATCAAACCCTTATCCTTAAAATGTTATTCAAGGAATTCTCATACATTGTCACTTTAAATTACAATGGTATTTTATTTTTTAAATAGCCACAAGATTTGACACTTCACACACACACACAAAAATATACCACTAATAAATAACAAGTGGAAATACTTAGCAAAGTTACAACAGACTTAATGTTTAGCTGAGAATCACGTCAACAGAGTAAGGCTCTAAAGATACCAGACAAACCAGTATTTGTTTGGAATAAAGTAGCTTTCTTATTGTATGGGTATAGAAGAGTTTCCATGTGGTCAGGGTTATGGTCATAAAACCAATTTTAACACAACTGTGCTTCATAATAAGTTTCAATAGTCTACACAAGATGTTAAGGAATGCCCCCTACAAAAGAATTACCAATATCCGGTAAAGTACATTCTTACCTGAAAATACCAAAATTAATAGGTGCTGGTATTCAGATCTGATGTCTCAGGTTTTATGACTGACATATCTTAATGCTCCTAGACTTTGGGGTATACAGAGTGGCATAAAATTTAAAATTGTTTAAAATACAGGGAAAAGTAAGATCCAATGGGCATACATTTCTTAACTATGCCAGTAACCCTCAATTCTTCATAGGGAATGGTTAAGCCATCAAAACAAAACCAAGTTTTTTATATTCAAATGCTTTTCCATATTAGTAACACTTTTAAAGTCACTAAAAACTAAATGTAGAGCAGTGATTCCCAAAGTGGGGGCTACCGCCCCCCGGTGGGCGCTGCAGCGATCCAGGGGGGCGGTGATGGCCACAGGTGCATTTGGGGGCGATGAGTAACTGCTATTAAAATTAAAAAAAAAATTAATTTCCAGGGGCTGAGTAATATTTTTTCTGGAAAGGGGGCGGTAGGCCAAATAAGTTTGGGAACCACTGTTGTAGAGGTAATACACAGAAATATACTGAGAAAAATGTTATAAAAAATGCTAACCCCCTCAATGTAGGCATGACCATCCTTTATGTGTCTACTTCATATACTCAACAGCTCCCCCCGCCCACTCAAAAAAAAAAAAAAAAGGTTCAGGTACAGGTTATTATACCCCAAAGTAATCTATTCCTGAATTACATTCAAAGAGACAAACAGCTCTGTAGTGTTTAGCTACTTAGGTCTACACATTCTAGGATGATGCACCTCTGTTGTCCTGACTCTCAAATTTGGAAATCTGCTCAAGTTCATATTCCTTTTAAAACCTTTCCCAGTAAACAGAATTTATGATCCCTAAATTCAGAGTCAGTGCAGGTTAAAATAGCCTCATATGTGAAACTTTTTTTTATTAAAAGCCATAGGATTGTGGCTAAAAACTAAATCTGAATTATTCGCGTCTGGCATTGTGTAAACATATTTTTAAGTTCATTTTGCTGGACTTCATTAACCACTTCAGGTTCTGCAGGGCTCTTTTGAACCTTTGCCACTGCAAAGCTTATCCCCTGGGTTAACCCAGCTTGGGTAATATTAGCAACCTGGACCATGGAGCTCCGAATCTTTGCAAAGGGAGAGACGGCTCTGCTGCTGCTCTCTGAAGGAGAAGGAGTTACATGAAGCCCTGTCTCAAGTTCAAGCATGCTGGATCCAGAGCCGGGGGTCTTCTGAGATACAACTGAATGCACTGGTTCGACAGACAAAAACTGTGGGCCTGTTGCAGAAAAACACACATCTAATTGAGATGGTCGAGAAGGTATGTGTTCCGTTGATTCAGATTGGGTTTCTTCATTGGAAACTTGATTGGTTGTTTGATTTCCTTCCTCACTAGCCTGCTGAGAAACACATCTGGTTTCGGACAGTTGGGCCATTTTGTTGTGTGCATCTTGTACAAATCGGTGGCAGTAAATATCCATAGGCTTGGCAAAGCCAGGCAATATGTGTATATTATCAGCAGAAGGACTTTTTTTTAAAGGAGACTCACAGCCTTTTCCAAACTCACTTCCATGAGCAGCAATAGTAATATCTGAAGGAGCATGAATGCTAACATCAGTATTGCTAATAGATTGGGATCTGCCTAATCGAGGTGCTGAAGCAATAATGCCACAACTAGGAAGAACATAGTCTATTGGCCCCACGTTCTCTAGAGAATTAGTTAGCTGCCTGTCCTCATCAGACTTGGAATTTGTAAGGAATTCATCAGAGTGGTAGGAGTCATCTGAAGACATTTCCCCATCAGACTCTGCCTGGACTGTATTATCCATCACACCTGTGTTTTCCATGGTTTCAAGACTACTATCTGATTTCCAAAGATTTACTTTTAAGTTTGGTTTCAGAAAATTAACTTTCATTTCAGGTTTTGCAAAGTTTCCCAGCCTTCGTAAATTGCCAATATTTACATTGGATTTGGTCTGTTTCACTTTTTGATTTAGAGATGAAAATTTGCTCATTAAAAACTTTTTTCCCTGGGCCAGCGACCCTTGGTTTTGAGATCTGATGCCAATTATGTCTTCATGAGGTTTACTGCTCTTCCTACAAAGTAGAAGAGAGAAAAGTTAATTTCCCATGTAATTCAGCATACCATTTCCAATTATTAAAGTGAAAATTCTATTTAAATTGGACCCCATTTCTTGAAAACTGCACATTGCTAATTGATAAACTAAGATAATCCCTTGGAGTTGACACTAGAAGAGAATGTCCAATAGAAATAGACAAGCTGTAGATGTCATTGAAAATAGCCACATTAAAAATGTGAAATGAATTTTAATAGTATTTTATTTAAACCCAATATATACAAAACATTGTCATTTCTTAGAGTCACTATGGAAAAAGAGTGAATGAGGTGTATTTTTTGTGCTGAGTCTCTGAAACAGCCAGGGGGTAGGTTTTACAGGAGAGCAGCAGAGGCCCTTAATGACAATGGCACGTTATTCCAGGCGCTGAGTGGAAACGGGGGTCCGGCTGTGTGACTTCAACCCCAGTCCCACACACAGGCCAGAGACATCTCCCACAGGCGCTCTGTCCTCACCTTCCTCAAGCAGGCCACCAGGAGCAACCCAGAGCCACCCTGTGGAAACCACCACATCAGCATTTTAATTCTGCTTGGTGACATTCTTCCTGGTAATTGGATTAATCGTGTTGAGTTCTTTTGGACCAAACCATTTGTCTTTGGAGTTACCACTGCTGCTGCATGTTTCCTTCAGCTGGGTTCTCCTAGGCATGCAGAGAGGAGCAGGCAGCGGAGGGAGGGAGGGAAGCCTCCCAACAGTTGCCTCAGCCCATGTTTTTGTGCAAAAACAACCAACCAAAAACCCACACCCGAAACGCAGACTAATCACCTTTCAGAGGCTCCACATCCACAATCTAAAGGATGGCAAAATCACTGGTTGTAAGTGGGAATCTACTGCACCGTAACTAGAGCTGTCTACACACATTCCAATTTGGCTGAATTCAGGAAGGGGGGCGGGGGGATTTTGTTTCCTTAAATTCAGATAACCCACTGGGAACATATTTTTAAAAATTTGGGACATTGAACGTAACTTAGTGGTTTCTCCCTTGGCATCTCTCACGACAGGTACAAATGAGAAAAAATAAGTTGTGCTATTCATCACACATATCTTGAATGTTTGACTTGGTGGTCATGTGGGATTACTGGTCATGAGACTTTTATAAAAATTGTAACATCAAAGACAACGGAAACAATATTCTCTACTAACAAAAGACTGAACAATTTTTTTTCTAGATGACCAAAGGACTCTCTTCTCTAGTGGAATATGGACCATGAACCTGCTTATTAGATGGAAAACTCACAAATTTAAATGTAAAATAATCTGTTTACAGGCATTGTTTCCCAAATTAAGTAACCTCGTGTTTAAAGCATAGTGACTAGTTTCTCTACAAAGTTATTTAAATTGAAATGCTCCCCTCTTAAGTATATTTTAAGAGTTTAAAAATATATTACTTGTGGCCATAATTTTAACAAAAAGTTTTACCTTTAATCCAGAAATTTGAAACTTCTCTCTCTAAATACCAACTTATTACTCTAATGCGACCCCTCCCCCCCACCTGTGCAAATATTTTTAAAGATGACTCTGGATAATAATGTCTTTATTCGTGAGAGAAAATCAAAATAGTGTACTCACCTCTCAAGTTTTTTCTCGATTATAGGCACATCCAGTCCCATGGCTTGCTTGGTGATCTGCAGCATCTCTGCAATGCACTGAAGGGTATCTGAAACCCAAATAGAACTGCTGCCACTTTCTCCAGAAACATACTAAAAAGTAGCAGTTCTAACTCAGAACCCTAAATGAAATTTGTGGTCTTTCAGTTAAAATCAAACTTATTTGCTTCAATTTACAGAAAACTGCTCCTTATTCATTACTTCCCCCACTAATTCAGTGTTGTAAAACCAATTTTAACAAAAGAGTAAGTAAAGAGCAAAGGAACCAAATCAATTGGAATTAAAGTGCTAGATGCCGAGGGTAATAGCTGTGAACCAGACAGACACGGTCCCTACTACCCACACGAAGCATATATGGTGGGAAAGCCCCGCATCAATACGGCCACACAGGATTCCCATTATAGCTTCCCTTGCCCCAAACCATCATCAGTTCAGATCATCTATCTCCCTGTGCTGCTGAGAACAAAGTTGCTATTTCCCTGGATCATTTAGTTGGTGATGGTATGTACTGCCCCCAATTCCATTTGTGCTTAGAAGAGCAGATCAAAAGTTTACACTCAGTAATTTCATATCCTTACCTTTTCCATCCTCTTCTGGATTGCGCATTACAGCTCTCAATGTGTGGAAATAGCCACTTGTTTCTTTGTATCTGTAGTGCAGCCGCATACAGGAGAACTTTGGCTTACCAAAAAGAGTGGGTTCAGGACCTAAAGACCAGAGGAGTTCGTGTGTAAATCTTTCACATAACCTTTACTTTCCTCTGTCTTCAAAAGACCAACACATCCATCCATTAGGCTATTTAGCACATTTCCCTCACAATCTAAACAAGCACACAAGCTTAGTGTGAGTTTGGTTTGATAAAATAAATACTAGCACTTCAGCCTCAAATATGTAAACTTTCTTGATCTCTGGTTTAATCTTCACAAGATAATAAAATAAAAACTTACTATTGGATTATATTCATCACTAATCTCTAAAGCAGGGGTCCTCAAACTTTTTAAACAGGGGGCCAGTTCACTGTCCCTCAGACCGTTGGGAGGGCCGGACTATAGTTTAAAAAAAAACTATGAACAAATTCCTATGCACACTGCACATATCTTATTTTGAAGTAAAAAAACAAAACGGGAACAAATACAATATTTGTATTTGCATGTGGCCCACGGGCCGTAGTTTGAGGACCCCTGCTCTAAAGAATAGAAGGGAGACCTACAAAATACGACTGGGAATACCCCTCTCTGGTTCTAGTAAGATGCTATGCCAGTTGCATAAACAACTTGACCTACTCTTGGAAGAAACAGTATTTGCTTTCTATGACTTGATTAGTATCTTTAAATTTACCTATTTCTATTTTTTCCAGGTCTTCTAGACTTAGTCGTTGATACTGGTTTACTTTATCAACTTCATCATCATAACTAGATAAAGGAAAAGGGATTAAAAAATTATTCAAATCAAAAGCATATTTATCTTATAGCTGAAGTATAATAGTAGCAACTACTGTGCAGTTAAAATCTGTAGCACAATACACAGTTAAATATTTTTCAAAGTTAGATGTAATGAGATAACATACATAGTTCAATAGTTAAAAGAAAATCAGTTTATAGATCTTACACTAAAATTCACAGCAAAACTTAAACATTTTGAAAAAGGAAAAAAAAAGACAAACTTAAACCTTAACCTAAAAGGAAATTTAAAAATACAGAGACCTGTATTCTGAAGCTATGTATTTAGGAATAATACAGCAGATAAATTATATCCAAATCAAGGAGGGAAAATCAACGTGATCAATGCCAATAGGCACCCAGGCCAATGACAAGAAAAAACAGTTCACACAAGGTGGGGGGAACCACCCTCAGTTCTGGCAAGGCTATGAAGAAGCACTTGAAATTCATCACTATAACCAAATGATAACCTTGCACACACAATTATCTGCACAAAGTCAGCTGTATCATTCACAACAGCAAAACGAAACTACAAAAAAGGGAATCCTTTTAATGCCCAACAATGGGAAATCATTTATGGCATAATAATAAAACAATGCTATATGGTCACTAACAATAAAAATATGTGAAATACACCAAAACCTGGGATATAACTCTCAAAATCATTTTCAAATTAAAAAAGAAGTCTGATGTCACAGTTATGTAAGGTAAAGGGGTTCCATGACATTTCTTCAAAAAAAAAACACACCCAATTCTTAATTTCCTAAAATGGAAATTTACTCAGATTTTAAAACAATTCAAAGCTTTAAATCAATAAGCAACTTACTAGGCAACGTAGTAGGCAGAGTTAGAAAGCAGTAACAGCACATCCACATCTCTGTGAGTAGCATCAATGAGGCTAAACAAACATGACACAGGCAATTACATATTTTTACTTTCATCTAAATTTTTGCCAAGCTTATTTTTAAAGGAGAACCACTTGTGATAAAAGACGGGAGGGAGGGGGAATAATCAATGCATACATTTAATTTCAGAAGGTAGGACACAATCTATCCATTTGGATATTTAAAAAAGAATCTAGTTTGGGAGGGTGGAAGAAAGGATGAGTTGAAGAGAGATGCCTTCTCACAGCCAAGGAGGAGGGGGAAATGGAAAATGGGGGGGAAAGGGGAATTGGAAAGAAAGAAATGTGAGGTTCAGAAGGAAGAAATAGTCTAAATGACTTACTCTCATAACCTAATCTTCAAAATGACACTGCACAGTAGAGTATTTTACTCTGCAGAATGCATCCTTTGAAAGGATTTTACATGATATTTGCCTAATATCAGCCTTTCCAAACAAAAGGTGGAAATTAATCTGGCTTCTTAGATTAGTCCCAGAAGTCTCTATACCAGTGATGGTGAACCTGTGACACGTGTGTCAGGTGACACACGAACTCATTTTTTTGGTTGATTTTTCTTTGTTAAATGGCATTTAAATATATAAAATAAATATCAAAAATATAAATTTTTGTTTTACTATGGTTGCAAATATCAAAAAATTTCTATATGTGACACAGCACCAGAGTTAAGTTAGGGTTTTTCAAAATGCTGACAGGCCGAGCTCAAAAGGTTCCCATCACTGCTCTATACGAATGCATATTCTGCCTTAGAATTACACACCTGTTTGCCTGTTTATCAAAATATTGCAAAACACCCTTTGCAGATGGAACTGGAGTCGCAGAACCCGTGCTGCCTGCGGAGAAAACTTTACCAAAGTGCAGCACCTTGTAGTGTAGCTAACAGTCTTAATCTAAAATAACAAATTCTCGCTGAAACCGGTTTGGCTCAGCGGATAGAGCTTCGGCCTGCGGACTGAGAGGTCCCGGGTTCAATTCCGGTCAAGGGCATGTACCTGGGTTGTGGGCACATCCCCGTGCAGGAGGCGGCTGATCGATGTTTCTCTCGCATCGATGTTTCTAACTATCTCTCTCCCTTCCTATCTGTGAAAAAATCAATAAAATATATTAAAAATAAATAAAATAACAAATTCTCAATTTTCGCCGAAAATGCAATGAGTGACATAAGATGCCGGGGCGTCATCAGTCCCAGACAAGAACCAGGGTCGGCTCTGGCCTGTACTTACGGGCACTCCGAAAAGCGTTGCTCCAGCCAAGCCACGAAAGTTACGTCACAAGACACTTTAATACGGAAATATTTTACTACTGGTGACAATATTTACATCAGTCAGGCGAGCCTCACCACTGACTGCGCTGGACGCGGAGGAAAGGCAGCTCCGTCCTAGCGCTTCCACCCTCGCCACACGGGCCGGCCGTCCACCGGCCACAGGAGCCAAACAAAACCGCAAAGCAGTACGTGGAGGCCGATCACCGCCACAACGAGGGCGTAAAAGCCGCTGTCCTCAGGGGACATTAACAGGAGGCTTTGAAAAAGGACTATTTTAGAATAAAAATATAACGCCACCGGAGCTTTCAGCATAAGCCCTGCTAAAAGAAGAACCATCTTTAGCAATGTCGCCAAGCGATCATTTTCAGCAACCAGGTCTGCGGCGCGGGCGGGCCGCGGGGCGGCAGGCGAAGGCTTGTAGGACCGCGGCATCTGGTCGGGGCGTCCGTTTGTCTGTCTCTCGAGGAGCCAAAACGGTCAGAACCGCTGCACCCAAACCCACGCGTGAATCGTCTGCAGCTAACTGCGCTGCGTGCACCGACCACGCCACGTCCCGCCCCGGAACACGTCAAGGCGGGCCACTTCCGCTGCGCAGCGTCCAGTGCGCATGCGCAAGCCCGTTAGACCTGCTGCTGGTTCCAGTGCGATACTTAAGGGGTTGCCAATAGCCATCAAGATAATTCTTAACCACCTTAGCCGGTTTGGCTCAGTGTATACAGCCTTGGCCTGCGGACTCAAGGGTCCTGGGTTCAATTCTGGTCAAGGGCACATGCCCGGGTTGCAGGCTGTCCCCAGTAGGGGGCGGGCAGGAGGCAGCCAATGATTCCCTCTCATCTTTGATGTTTCTCTTCCTCTGAAATCAATAAAAATATATTTAAAAAAAATTTTTTTTAACCATTTGCAACAGCATTATGGTCCTGGAAAGCATTATGCTAAGCGAAATAAGTCTGTCAGAAAAATATCACATGATCTCACTCACTTGTGAAATATAATGTACAACGTAAACTGATGAACAAAAACAGATCCAGAGACAGAGAAGTATCGATCAGATGCTCAAACCTCAGAGGGAAGTTAGGGGAGGGTGAGGGCATGAGTGGGTCAATGGGTGGTTAAGGACACATATATAATACCTTAATCAATAAAGAAAGAAAAAAAAATATATCCAGAGACTGGGGTGGTACATATGTAAACTTAAAACAATTAAAAAAAAACATTTTCAGTACAATATATATATTTTGTTAACCTTCACCAGAATATATTTTTCCATTAATTCTTAGAAGAGAGAGGGAGGGACACAGAAATATCCAGGTGAGAGGGATTGATTGATTGCCTCTTGCATGTGCCCCGGGCTGGGGATGGAGCCTGCAACCGAGGTACGTGCTCTTGACCAGAATCGAACCCAGGACCCTTCATTTTGCAGGCCAATGCTCTATCCACTGAGTTATGTGCATTAATACAATAAACCTAGATTCTGAGGGGGAAAACCCACACAGCCACTAGCGAACCATAGTTTTACAATTGTTTTTTATATCAATTATTGCATTAAAATAGTTCTCATTACTGAGTTTTTAGTGTCAGCTCTGTACTTGAAAAGTGCCATGCATCCATGCCCACAGCTTTATGGATAAGTCCTAGCATTAATTACAGAAAACTTCTCAGAAATGTAAGCACATTAGTTAGCAGGACATCACTCATTACCTGGGATCACAGTCAATGAGGGCCCAGCCCCCGTGGAACTTTTCATTATCAGGCAGCAGTAACTTCATGTAACTTTGTAAAAGCTGGCTAATCAGTTCCTGGTGACTTCTCTGGTTTTCCTTATGCAAAGCTTCATGCTCTTTCTCTTTGTTAAATATGGAATAAAGATCTTCTGTCACTGGAATGCCTTGCATCAAATCTAGAGTAGAAAGTGTCAATATCTATCATCATCTTAGTTTCCTAATACATTTTTTTAAAAAACAAAAGAGAATGAAGACCTAAACCATAAAACTCTAAGAAAACATAGGAATAAATCTTTGAGACCTGGATTAGACATGGGTTTTTTTAGTTTTTTATTTGGTGTTGGGGGGGGTGGGAATGGACACTAACATCACAAACAAAAGAAAAAATAGATAAACTGAACATCATTAAAAAAAAAAAACTTCTGCCCTAACCGGTTTGGCTCAATGGATAGAGTGTCGGCCTACAGACTGAAGGGTCCCAGGTTTGATTCCGGTCAAGGGCATGTACCTTGGTTGCGGGCATATCCCCAGTATGGGATGTGCAGGAGGCAGCTGATCGATATTTTCTCTCTCATTGATGTTTCTAACTCTCTATCCCTCTCCCTTCCTCTCTGGAAAAAAATCAATAAATTAAAAAAAAAAAAAAGATACCGGCCTAGGATGTAACTACCCACCATAACTGCTAAAAAATAAATAAAAATAAAAAACTTCTGTATTTCAAAGGGAAATAACATGATAGTGAAAAGACAATTCACAGAATGGGAAAGGATATTTATAAATCACCTATCTAATAATGGACTTGTATCCAGAATTCCTACAACTCAATAAAAAGACAAATAAGCCCAGCTGATGTGGCTCAGTGGTTGAGCGTCGACCCATGAACCAGGAGGTCATGGTTTGATTCCAGGTCAGGGCACATGGCTGGGTTGCAGGCTGGACCCGCAGTGGGAGGTGTGCAGGAGGCAGCTAATCAATGATTCTCATCATTATGTTTCTCTTTCTCTCTCTCTCTCTCTCTCTCTCTCCCTTCTTTTCTGAAATCAATAAAAACATTTTTCTGAAATCAAAAACATTTTTTAAAAAGCCCATTTTAAACAGATCTAAATAGACTAGCTAACTTCTTCCTAGTGTGGCATGTGGCTTAAACTTTAACAAGTCATTATAATCCCATTCCCTATAGTTGTTTGGAACAATGAGACTGGAGGGGGCTTCTGGGAAAGATCTGCCACTGCTATCACTATAAGGGGAAGCAATAGCCCAGCCTGCTATGGGCCTCTGTCTCAACCTTGAAGAGATCAAACTGCGCAAGGGACAAAACCTGAGTCCTCAAGGTCATAACTGAGTTACCAGATCGACCAACAGAAGGAAAGTATCTTACTTTTCTGTAATAATGTGCTAAAAATCCAGTTTTCCAGTCAGCACACCCCCATCCATGGCAAATGAACCAAACTTCTTTACACCAGACTTCTCAAATTACTAACTGGCCTGTGTCTAGGCCCCATTATTTTATGAATGATAAATATCAAGTTTAAAAACAGGATTTAAAAAATAGTCTCAGAGACCATAAGATAAAGTGTTGCATTTGGTTCTAATCCACATTATATGTTTATTTAAATACTATAAGGTAATATTTTAATAAAAATTAAATTTAAAACATGCCAAAGCATGAATTCCACTGGGCAATCTACCCTCCATTTACTCTTCAAAAAAAGGACTGAATTGGGTAGGATAAATTTTTTAAAAATATTTTTATTGATTTCAGAGAGGAAGGGAGAGGAAGAGAGAGATAGAAACATCAATGATGAGAGAGAATCACTGATTGACTGCCTCTTGCATGCCCCCTACTGGGGATTGAGACTGAAACCTGGGCATGTGCCCTTGACGGGAATCAAACCCAGGACCCTTCAGTCCACAGGCCGACGCTCTATTCACTGAGCCAAAACAGCTGGGGCTGAATGTAATCCTCTTTAATATGCTATTTAATCACACCCATGGAAAGAAAGGATGGTGTTTTTGTCCACAGCAAGAACATACGATGTCATGGAAAGAAAGAAAATCATCTTGTTACATCTCTCAGCCTTGAGTAACGGAAAAACAAATAGAATGTGGGGTTTTTACTTGATAAGGTTTTAGAGCAGGGGTGGGCAAACTTTTTGACTCGAGGGCCACAATGGGTTCTTAAACTGGACCGGAGGGCCGGAACAAAAGCATGGATGGAGTGTTTGTGTGAACTAATATAAATTCAAAGTAAACATCATTACATAAAAGGGTACGGTCTTTTTTTTTTTTAGTTTCATTTCAAGCGGGCCGTAGTTTTCCCACGGCTGTTTTAGGGTCTCTTATTTCATATTTCAGGAGCCTCAACCATGCTTTCTGTTACATGAACAGCAAACTGACAAATACGTATGGAAACGAGTGGTTTCTTTTGTTGCTCCAGCCTAAAAAATTTGTCAAGTTCTAATCTCCTAAAAATTTGAATTTGATTCATTTGGTAAGATGCTCAATATAGAAGCATAAGTATATTATAAAACATATGAACTATGTTAATAATGTTGGTTTCGGTAAAACAGTCACAGAAGGAATAACAAATTTTAAAAAAAGGCTTTTACGTTTCTTACCTATGACAGCTTGCCTATAAGCATCCTTAAATCGATTCAGGTAATACCTATTTGCGGAGTTAACACCGTCTTTCATAACTCCTGCTAACTTCCTTTCTCCTGTCCTTGTAAAGTCACCCTGTCAAGGAAAACATTTTGACAATTTAAACACAAGAATGTTCCCGAAGTCAAGGTGGGCTTGTAAGACTGTAATTTTGTAGGCTTTTATAATTCCAAGTCATGCAGCTGAATTAAAATATCTATTAGTATTTGACTCTGACCCAAGCATGTCAAATAATTAAACATACTATTTGTAGCAAAAAGTCTTCAGCTAGATGGAGCTTTAAGGTAAAGCCATTCTTGGTAATCTATAGAATTTTGAAAATTTACAGGTCTAAACTTATTACATAACAAACAAAAAAGTCTTTCAATTCATTTATACGTTCTAGTTTATTGATGGAATCTTTAAAGTTCTCTCTATATAGATCCATGTCATCTGCAAATATTGACAGTTTTACTCTCCCCCCTCCCCTCCCAATTTGGATGGCTTTTATTTCTTCTGATCACTGTGACTAGAACTTCCAATACCATGTTGAATAAGAGTGATGAAAGTAGACATTCCTATTTTGTTCCTGATCTTAACACTTTTCAATTTGCCCATTGAGTATGTATAATGTTGGGTGTGGATTTGTTAAATATGGCCTTTATTATGTGCCGGAAGCCGGTCCATCCTTGCTGCTTGACACAGTCGCTGCAGGGAAGAAACATCTGCATAGCGTATGTTTCAAGGGACCGGGTGTATATGGCATATTGTTCTTAATATGTTTGCTCCCCTTATTAGCGCTATGTGTTTTAACCAAGGTCACCTCTCCAAGAAAGGTTGTTTCCCCAGGTGGGGATTTTTCCCTGGAGTTAGGGATTAACAGGACTAAGGAAGGGAATAAATCAGTAAAACTTCTTAACTAAGTGCCAGGCGGGTAGTTAATCACTTTAACTATGAACAATCACGCTTAAGCTACATAATCTTTTCTTAGGATAATCTCCTTCAGTTACTTCCTTGTAGCTTAACAGAACAATAGAGTAGTGGCCTTGGAATGGAGATAACAAACGCCCTAACCTTTGGAATAGAATGGATAGGATTCTCAACTTAATATATTGAAAAATCACAAATTTCTTATGTGGAAAAATGTGGACAGCTTCCCAGAGTTTATTAGAGATTTTACCTGTTTATGTGGATGTGTGTAAATACAGAGAGAGCAGGTTTCTCATTACACGTTACAATTCCTGTAGAATGAGCCAATGAGGATTTAAATTGTTTTTTCTCTTGCTTTTAACAAAGGTATCAGAGCAACTCCCCAGAGAGGTAGTGATTTAAACTTAAAAGGCAAGGAAAGCATAGTCCTTTTTGCCTCCATCCCAACCCCACTATTTCTATCCAAGGCCATTCCTGAAACAGACCTTGTCCGAACACTGATAATTTTGGAGAAGATACTGCCAACTAGTTAAGTCATTCACAGGAAACAGTAATTAAATAAGAATCTATTACAGAAGAGAGAGACATGAATGCTGAATCCAAAAAAGTTTAATATCAAAGAGAAAAATATTTCTCTCCTCCCCAACTTTATTGAGATAAAATTGATGAGTAATATGTGTAAATTTATGGTGTACCACGTGATCACTTGGTATATGTGTGTGTGTATACAGCGAGCTGATTACATTAAGGTTAACACATCTATCACCTCACATAATTCCTCTGTGTGTGTGTCTGTGAGTGTGGTGAGAACATTTAAGATCTACTTCCTTAGCAAATTTCAATTATACATTATTGTTAACTACAGTTACGATGCTGTACATTACATCCCCAAAACTTATTCCATTTGTACCTTTTGAACAACATCTTCTTTGCCCCGAGTCCTGGTAACCACCAATCAACTCTTTATTCCTAGAAGTTTGACTTTTCCAGATTCCACACATAAGTGAGATCATGTAGTACTTTGTCTGGCTTATTTCACTTAATCATATTGCCCTCAGGGTTCATCATACTGTCGCAAATGGCAGGATTCCCTTCTTTTTCATGGCCAAATAATGTTCCATGACACCACACACACACACCACACACACACACACATTTTCTTTAGTCATCATCCTCACTGAACATTTAGATTGTTTCCATGTCTTCACTATTGTTAATAATGCTGCAATGAATATGTAAGTGCAGATATCTCTTCAAAATAGTGATTTCATTTCCTTCAGATATACTACTATACCCATAAATGGGATTGCCGGATCATATCATAGTTCTATTTTTAATTTTGGGGGAACTTCCATACTGTTTCCCATAATGGCCAGGCCAATTTACGTTCCCACCAACAGTGTATAAGGGTTACCTTTTCTCCACATCCTTATCAACACTTATCTCTTACCTTTTTTATAACAGCTATTCTAACAGGTAGGAAGTGACATTGCATTGTTGTTTTGATTTGCATTTCCCTGATGATTACTGATGTTGAGCACCTATGTATGTACCTGTTGGCCATTTGTATATCTTCTTTGGAAAAATGTCTCTTTAGTCCTTTACCCACTTTTTACTCAAATTATATTTTGCTGTTGAGTTGTATAAATTCCTTACATATTGTGAATATTAACTCATCAGATACATGTCTGCAAATATCTTCTCCCATTCCATAGCTTGTCTTTTTATTTTGTTGATTTAAAAAACATTTTTTCTTACTGTGCAGAAAGTTTTTTGTCTAATCTACTCCTACTTATTTACTTTTTCTTTTCTTGCTCGTTTTGGGAATCACACCCAAAAAATCATTGCCAAGACCAATGTCATGGAGCATTTTCCCTATGTTTTCTTATTGGAGTAAATTATAAAGTTTCAGATCTTACATTTAAGTCTTTAATCCATTTTGTGTTAATTTTTTTATAAGACAGGGGTCCAATTTAACTTTCTTGCATGTGCCTATTCCATTTTTCCAGCACCATTTATTGAAGAGATTACCCTTTCCCCATAATGTATTGTTGACACCCTTGTCAAATATTATCTACAGAATTTATTCATCTTATAACAGACTATACTAGTTATACAACAGCTGTCGTTGACCATATGTGGGTTTACTTCTGGGCTCTCAGTTCGATTCCATTGATCTGTGTGTTTGTTTTTATGTCAGTGCCATATTGTTTTGATTACTATAGCTTTGTAGTAAGGTTTGGAATCAGAGAGTGTTATTGCCTCCAGCCTTGTTCTTCTTTCTCAGAAATGCTTTGGCTATTGGGGGTCTCATGGTTCCATACAAACATTAGAATTGCTTTTGTCTATTTCTGTGAAAAATGCCACTAGAACTTTGATAGGGATTGCACTGAATCTATATATGGCTTTGGGTAGTATTATAAACATTTTGAGAATATTAATTTTTTTATCCTGAACATGGGCTATCTTTCCATTTATTTGTGTCCTCTCAATTTCTTTCATCAATGTCTTATAGTTTTCAGTGTACAGATCTTTCACTTTCTTGGTTAACTTTATTCCTAAGGAATTTACTGTCTGTGATGCTATTGTAAAAGAGATTATTTTTTAGCAGTTTGTTGTTATTGTACAGAAGCGCAACTGATTTTTGTAGGTTGATTTTGTATTCTGCAATTTTACTGAACTCATTTATTAATTCTAACAGTTTTCTGATGGAGTGTTTTTAGGATTTTCCATATACATTATGTCATCTACAAAGACAAATTCACTTTTGCCTTTCCAATCTGGATGTTTTCTATTTTCCTTTCATGATTGCTCTGGCTAGAACTTCCAGTACTATGACAAATAGGAATGGTGACAGTGGGCACCAAAGTCTTGTTCGTGATTTTAAAGGAAAAGCTTTTAAGTTTTCACCACTGAGTATGCCATTAGCTGTGGGTTTGTTATTATTGCCTTTATTATGCTGAGGTACAGTCCTTCTATACCTCATTTGTTGAGAGTTTTTATATAAAAGAATGTTGAATTTTGTCAAATCCTTTTTCTGCATCTATTAGATTATGATTTTTATCTTTCATTCTATTAATCCAGGATGTCCCATTTATTGATTTGTATGTTGAATGATTCTTCCACCTGATAGATAAATCCAACTTTATTATGGTGTATGATACTGTTACATTTAGTTTGTTAGTATTTTCTTGAGAATTTTTGCATCCACATTCATCAGGGATATTGGCCTATAGTTTTATTTCCTTATAGTGGTATCAGAGCCTCATAAAATGAGTTTGGGAGTGTTTCCTCCTTTTCTGTGTTTTGGAAGAACTTGAGAAACGTTGGCATTAATTCTTTAAATGTTTGGTAGAATTCACTAGTGAAACCATCTGGCCTGGGCTTTGTTGAGAGGTTTTTGCTGAATGATTCAATCTTACTCACTGGTCTGCTCAGATTTTCTGTTTCTTCATAATTCAGTATTGGTAGGTTGTATGGTTTCTAAGAATTTATTCTTCTAAATTGCCCAATTTGTTCTCATATAATTGTTCAGTATAGCCTCATGATCCTAAGTATTTCTGTGGTATCCTTTGATTGTTCAGGAGTGTTAATTTCCACATATTTGTGAATTTTCCAACTTTCCTCCTGTTAATGATTTCTAATTTCATACCACTATTACTAAAAACAACAACAACAACAACAAAAACACACCCTGATATAATTTTTGTCTTCTTGAATTTGTTGAGACTTTGTAGCCTAATATATGATCTATCCTGGAAAATGTTCCATGTGCGCTTCTTAAGAATGTGTATTCTCCTCTTGAGAGAGAAATTAAGTGACTTGCCCAAGGTAACAGAGCTAGTAAAAGGCAGGATGGGGATACAAATTTAGGGGGCAACGTCAATGATCATACTAGGGGCCAAATACCATCAACAGACATGTTTTGTTTTGTCTATGTAAAATTTTAAAAACCCAGTATTTCACACAATTCCAGATTGCCAACTCCCTTGAAAAAACCAGAAGACCTAGCAACACTGCGCCTCCATCCTCATAAGGAAACGAGACAGCACCCTCCTGAGACAACATATGCTCTTCCTAGGGCCACACAGCTCCCTCTCTCCCTTTCACCTAATGGGTGCCTGCCTGAGCCACCTAACCCCAGCCCGTCCCAGCCAAAAGATGAGTGTGTGACCCCTGCCTTAGCCAAACATTCCAGAAAGTAGTCAGCCACCACCTGTAGCCGCACACCTTTATCTCAAAAACAAAGATGGTTTTTACCCACATTCTGAGTCCCACAGAATGACCCGCAAATGCTCGCTGCGGGTATTTACCTTCAGAGCAGCTGTGCCAGCGTACTGCCTGCTGATGGAGTCACCATTGTTGGCCCACATTATCTGATAGATCCGATTGCATTTCACCGGCAGTGGCTGCTCTGGGGGCATCACACCTAATTTTTTCAGCTAAAATTTATACATTGGTGGATTAATTACATATAAACCAAGACACCGTAGCATAAAACATACTGCAGAAAAAGGAATTACGTTCATACACAATTTAGAACCCTTAAATAAAAGAAATGGTGTTTTCAGCCCTGGCCGGCATGGTTAGAGTGTCAGCCTGTGCACCAGAGGGTTACAGGTTTGATTCCCAGTCAAGGGCACATACCTGGGTTGCAGGTTCGACTCCCGCCCTTCAACCCAACGTCAGAGCTCATACAGGGGGCAACCAATCGATGTATCTCTCTCATCAAAGTTTCTATCTCTCTTCCTCTCCCTTCCTCTCTGAAATCAATAAAAATGTATTTCAAAACAAAAACAAAACCAAAACCCTAGAAACCATGCTAGGAATTTCCATCTTTGAATTCATTACTCAGGTGTTAGGGCCAAAAGATCTAAAAGGGGACCTGGGTAATGACATAATGACTACAGGAAGCAGCTGCCAGCAACTGGGGCATCAAGGCAAGAGGCTGGTTCTGTGGTGCCAAAGGGACCAACAGCCCAGTGATGGCACTGCTGGAAGGACTATAACCAGATGAAGAAGCGAGTCCCTTTTTTCGCCTCCAGCCTCATGATCTTCCTTTAGTGTCCACTACTGGCAGAGCCTGACACGAAGCCAGTCGGCCAAGCATAAATGAAATGTACAGACTCCCAGCTCCAAATACATGAGAGAGGGTTTAGAGATGAGGTAAAAAGGTAAGTGACCATACAGTGACACCCGATACATTTTTAAATGTTGGGCCTCACATCTTGAAATGTGTACTTAAGAAAATACCACTTGGTTCAAGTTATTTCTAGTGGAGGTTGTGCTTTCCAGGTTTTAATGCAACAAGAGTTTTATGCCATAAATGTTCTAAAGAACAAAGATTTTAGTTATTAGTTTACCCTTGAAAAAATTAAAAATGAATATTTACAATCCAACAGATTCCAAGTTACCTGCTGCTCCATGACCACTCGTGCGATGGCAGCTTGAACCACGTTGGTGCGGTCCAGGCAGTCCATGCAATTAACTCGAAAAATCCCTTCTTGTTTACATATTACCCCAGCTTGATCAACCCTTTTCAAAAACAGCATGGGATTATTTCACAACATGAAACACTTTAATGCTTTTTTCAAAAACCAAAATTCTTTCAAGCACAGCGATGCGAACAGCAGCACTGGTTACCAGCTTGCTTGGAAGAGCACTGTGTGCAGGCATTATTGAGTCCTATGTAGACACTGTTGATTTACACAATAACTCAACAAGGAAGACATTACTATCCTCATTTTGGAAAGAAAACTGAGGTACAGAGAGACACTTGCCCCAAGTCATACAACTACTAGGCAAAACGGACCCGTTACTCTTTTCTGCACATTTAAAATAAAAAAGCACTTTAAAACACCATCCTGTCCCTCCTCTTTGACTCCAAGAAGAAATACATCTAAATTAGCTCATTCACTTTACCACCTAATACAGAGTCATGCAGCATGCCTTGCTCATCTCATTTCTCTTGTCATCTGTGGCCTTAAAGTCTAATAGAAAGTTCGGTTCTGTCCTTTAAGCCAATTTTTTCTTCCTGCCTCTCCCTCCTATAATCTGAGAATTTTCATCCTTCCTTGATAATTTTAAATGCCTGACAACTGAGACCAGGTACCTCTAAGCCCTCCTTCCATGTTAGGGATGGCAAGAAAGAGGAGAAAGACATTCAACTATGAAGTATTAGAATGAATTAAATAATAGTCATCGGGCATTTCACGTCACTTTGCCCAACCACCTGACACCTCTTCCCGGTTCTCAGCTACAATGCCTAATGCCTAACCCTCTCTTAAAAAGGAGAACAGGAAACGGGAAGCAAAACTAGAAAAACAAAAACGCTTTCTCAGCTTGCTGCTATTATTTTAATGCTTAATGTTACTAAACAAATACACATGGTTTCACAGACCAAGAGTTTGTTACACTGATTTCTTATGAAATAAATACGTACCAACACCACTTCATGTCAAGAATAATGTCATAAATAGCATCTGTTAGTGTTTGAACATTCTCAAACTTCATTCCTCGGCTAAAATACAAGCCAAAACAAAGAGAAAAATTTTTAACTTAAAAATATGATATTTAAGATAGCCTAAAAAATTAAAGAAAATTATTACTTTAAATAAATGAGGTTTACACTATTATAATTTATATAGGCAATTACATAAACGTTTATAGCTAATCTGTCATGTGGAAGAAAATATACTGAAAAATATACTGAAAAATAAAGATATCTAAAGCTTCTCTCCCCACCAAATTTTCAACACTTAGATAATTGAGATCACGTTAGAACCAGGGTCATGATAAAAGAACCTTGCTTTCAAAATACACACAAGTTAAAGTTATCATCAAGATGGTTCACTAATTGTTGATTTTCCAGAGCAAATTCTAGTGAACTTTATCCATAGAGAAAGAAGTGTTACTAATAAAGTATGAAAATGAGCCAGCAGGATGATTTTTATTAAGGGGTTTCTGTTACTTCTGCCAGGCTGAGGCTTAAGCAGAAAGGTAAAGCTCCAGAAATTCTTTACTTGAATAATAAAAGGAAAAATGAACTCTAAGTCTCCAAGTTATTTAGGAATAGAAAAACTATAAATATTTCAGAAACAATTAAGTTAAATTTTTAGCCAAAATAAAATCCATATGAAAATGAAAACAAAGTAAACAAATAATATTTCTTCCCTTTCCAACAATGAGAAGAAATTTTTCTTCCCAATAAAGAGAAGCTTAGGTCCCTGGGGCAGCATCGTACCACAACCATTGGAACTGGTAAAAAAACTCATCTCAGGAAGCACCTTACCAGTGCTCATGGAAGTCAAATGAAACATAAGTGAGGTGCGCATTGTTAAAGAGCAACACCTGCTTTAGGTAAGCGTCCCCGATAATTTTCTCTCTTCCTGCTTGGTCTACCAAGTTAATAATAACCTGTAAGAGTAAGGAGAAAAAATTCATTTTAACCAGATGATAGAATCATAATGTGACTTATTTGGAATTATGTTTTAGAAATATTTTCTAGCTATGCTTAGAAATCCACTCAAGCATTAATCTTTTTCCTATAAATTAGATTTTCATTTGTTACATTTAGGTTTATGATAACTGCTTACATCAATGGCATTAATAGTTTTTATATACATTATACATTTGTAATAACCAACTAGAATAGACAATGAAAAGAAGGTCCTTTAAAATAGCAAATCTTGAAAATATTTAGAATACTTAAAAAAAATTTTTTTTTATTGATTTCAGAGAGGATGGGAGAGGGAGAGAAAGATAGAAAACATCAATGATGAGAGAGAATCATTGATCGGCTGCCTCCTGCTCAACCCCCACTGGGGATCGAGCCCACAACCCAGGCATGTGCTCTGACTGGGAACCAAACTGTGACCTCCTGGTTCATAGGTCTACGCTCAACCACTGAGCTGGTGGCAGCAGATCAATGATTCTTTCTTATCGAAGCTACCCCCACCCTTCTTTCTCTAAAAAAAATAAAATAAAAAATATATTTATAACATTTATAATAGTATTTATATTTATGATAAAGTTTCAAGAAATAAAATTCTAATAAAAATTTACAAATTAGTAAGGTCAATTTTATTCACTTAAAAATTATGGTTAGTGCTTTTTAAGTCCAGTTTAAGACCCAAGGTCAAAAGATGTTCTATATTTTCCTCTAAAAAGTTTTGTTTATATTTAAATCCATATTCACCTAGAACTGATTTTTGTATATGGTATGTAAGATAGATATCAGAAAGCAAAATTACTGTGTTAACAGTAGAGCATATTTTATTTTGAATAATACCATTCAAAATGGCTGTACCAACTTATGCTCCCTCTAACACAGCGGTTCTCAACCTGTGGGTCGCGACCCCTTTGGGGTCGAACGACCTTTTCACAGGGGTCGCCTAAGACCACCAGAAAACATGTATATATAATCACATATTGTTTTTGTGATGAATCTATGCTTTAATTATGTTCACTTTGTAACAATGAAATTGGGGGTCACCACAACATGAGGAACTGTATTAAGGGGTCACGGCATTAGGAAGGTTGAGAACCACTGCTCTAACAATATGTGAGAGTTCTCATTTCCCACATTCCTGACTTCATCTCTTATCATCAAACTTTATAGTTTTTTTTCAATCATTTCGTTTTTATTTCCCTGCTGGGACTTTCTTTGGGATTGCACAAAATTTATATATTAATTTTGGAAGAACAGAAATCTGTTGAATATTGAGTCTTTCCTTCTAAGATTACTGTATTTTCTCTCCATTTATTCAGATTTCCTTTTGTGTTCTTCAGTAACTCTCCCCTGGACCCCCGCCACCACCACTGTCATGGTATCCTTTTGTATGCTTACAAGATTTTAGGTTATTTCTTCCTGTTTTATTTTTGTTGCTGTTAGAAAAATACATCCTATGGCATTACACATTCAGACTGGTTATTGCTAATGGATTAGTTATTGACAGTTCTAGCTCAATCCTGTATCTGAAATCTGGTCATCTTATTGAACGTGTATTTCATCTAACAGCTTTTATCTTACTTTGGTTTATATGATCACATTCCTACATGACTGTATGAATATATAAGAAAGGTGGGCAAAGAAAAGATACTGAAAGATACATATTAAATTGTTATTTCCAGGAGGTAGAACTAACTATATGGGTGGTACTGAGAGATGCCTTTTATTTCTTACTCTAGAAACTTCTCAAATCATAATAATTGACAGATTAATCTCTTATCTAAAAATGGTCTAGTCAATTGTAATTGAAAAATAAAACTGATTTAAAAAATTAAAGTTTTAAAAAATAATAAAAATGGTCTAAAGTAGCTGACAATGATATTTCTTTAAAAATATTAAGAATATTCTTAGCTTACATGTGTTCTTTAACTTCATGAGAAATGCCATTTTGCTTAATTATGAATAGTACATTGTTATTTTCATGAAATTTAAAGAAACAGATATACAATCATTTCAAAATAGAAAGGAACATTAACTACTAGAGATCAAAGCCCACCTGTTTTTTGTAAATTTTCAGTTGTTCTTCGAAGTGGGCACAGAAATAGGCAACAGTTTCCTTTTCACCTACAAAGAAGTGATATAAAATCGATTTTTTCCTTCCCCTGTTTAAGAAAAAATTAGTGTCTATTCCATCGTTATTCTTACTTTTAAAAAATTGACAGCCCAAAAGTAAGATTTTCTAAAATTATTTTAAAATGAAATACTAAGCCAAAGATCTGATTTCTTCCCCCCTATTAAACTAAATTAAAACAAAGTACAAACTGTGAAATTATAACATTATAATAACAAGCCAGCCAACTTATCAGAAAAGGTTTCATGTAGTTTATAATAAAAAATAAAAACTTCTTTAATCAAGGATATTAGAAACTGAAGTTTTACCAAATTCTCATAAATATAAATTCAGTTTTGAGAGAAAAATATTTTGTAAACAATTTTTAAAAATCAACCTAATTCAGTAATCTAATTAGGCTGACATGATTTAGCTATTCCAGTGTTAAAGTTAAAATACAAAAATAAATTAACTTCTCAATAATTTAAACAATAACAAACACTTCACAGTGAGGCATTTCAATAAAGGCATCTTGTATAATAGATGCCATCTTAAGATATTTCCTCCTTCTACAAATATTGGCTTCATTTACCCTTTTCCAAAATTAAACATCCAATAAAGTATTCTTCAAAAAGTCAAGAATTTAAAATGTACAATAAGCTGTTTTGCTCTATTGTTGGGGAATTTGTTAAATTGTCAACAACCATTATTGCTCTTATGTTTATATCACTTTCCACTAAATTTCACTGTATGAGTTATTGTTTTGAATGAAGCATCTAGCAAAGCAAATCCAAATCTATAACGTATCTAATATCTGTCTGACATCATTTGCAAACCAAATAATGGACTTGCTTACTCTTGTCCAGCCGAGGTCTTGGATTGTATCGATAGCCAACCTGGCTCCAAAAGACAGGCACAGAGCCTCGGGTTTGAATAAATGACAAGGTATGATTATGGACATGAATTAGCTGCTCAGTCTCCACATAATTTGCAACATTTCCATTTTTATCCACCCCTCTTCGTTTATAGCGCATTCCTAAAACAAAAACAAAAAACAAACAAACAGAAAACAGCAACATTTTTTAAAAATTTAGCCTAACTAGATCATGCTTATCTCACTTTCAGGATAGCCTTGGGGATCTAATGTGCAACTGCCAGGCAGAACTGGATCAATTTATCCCAAATCATAACTGCATGCATCATGATTTTTACAAACTGAAGCTACGAGAGCTCCTATGCACTGAAAGAGAAGGATTTTCCCAAAGGCGCTAGCACTCAGGAAGGATTTATTACTGTGATTGTGATCCAACCCATCAGTGGGAACAATGGTATTTTAGAAGCACATCCCAAGTGACTTTCTTCTCTTCTTTCTCCTTTTGTTAACTCTTCCCAGTTCGCCTCTATCCAATAACTGGTCCCCAGTCACATGACAAAGTGACTGAGCACTGAAACGGACTGTTTCCAGATCCATATGGTCATCGGCATTTCAGCACCCCCGCAGGATTTCCATTTAGCCTGGATTTGATTTGCAGGTGATTACAGCCTTCCACACACCTGCTCTGTGCCGACTGCGACGTGAAATGAGAGCCACTAGGAATCGTGGGTGAATGTCATCTACACAGGTGGACTCCTGAGGCGGGGTCTCGGGGCTGCTTTTCTCATCATCAGATGACTCACTATAATTTACCACAAGTTCTTCAATCTGCACAAAACCTTGGATAATGGGGATAATCCAGAAGTCCACATCTGGTGTCTGAAAACAATAGGAACATCACGTTGTTTCTATGCTGTACAGCACTGACACTTTCTTAAACCCAAACAGTAGCCAGCACATACTTGTTAGTTTATTAGGAACAGAAACTTTCCATTCTTTAACCATATATTCTGCTCACTGGAGAACACAAAGGAGTGGAGGGAGGAGTGCAGGTGGAGCAGAGAGCATTTCCTTTTCTTTATAATAATCACTCAAAAGAGAGCTGCCTGAGAGGGATCACACCATAGGAGCCAGACAGCGGGGTCCAAATTCAAGCTCCGCCATTTACTAACTCCCCCAGGTGAGTCACTGCACCTCCCCAGTGCCTGGACACTCTGCTTTGAAAAACAGGAAAACTACTACCCTATTAGGTTGCTGTGAAGATGAATGAGTAAAATGGAAAAAGTCGTTAGCATAGTGCCTGCCTGCTTACAGGAACTAGTTAGCAATAGTACAGGATAAACAGTGAAGGCTGAGAAGCTTCCCAGAGAGTTGTTCTTAGTCCCTCTTTCTCTCCTGTCTCCATAATCCTATCTAGCCCTAATCTCAGCATCAACTTCAAACCCACCTCTTCTCGCATAACCACACACTCCAGGTCCTATCTCATGGTTCTGTTTTATGGAGCCTGCAGGCAGGATCTTGGAAGGTGGCTGGAAACAGTAAAGGGCCGACCTGCCTTCATGATTCTTATCATCACTCCCATTATTTGTGTTTTTTTCCCTTCTAGCAATACATGCAGAACTCTTGGCGGGAACAGAGACTTGTAAGTGGCCAAATGCCACCTTTATAGCAAGTCACCAGTTCTCAATGAAAATGCTAAATATCTACAAAAACTCTGCAAAACAGAGCTCAACACATCAGCAAGCAAGACAATATTCATTACAGACACCCGTACTGCTAATCCTGCCACAGAGTTCTGGTGGTCCCAGTATCAGCATCATAAAGAGGCAAGAACTCTTTCTCGATAGAGACATGATAGATAGCTAGTGGTAGGCATTATCTATCTACTAACTCCCACCAAGGAACAGAAATAGAAAAAAGGAGAAAGGTTTGAAAAAAATTTTAAATAATATACTTATTTAATCCTCACCTGAGGATGTGTTTATTGATTTTTAAGAGAAAGGAAAGAGAGAGTGAAGGAGAGGGAGAGAGAAGAGGAGGGGGGAGGAGAGGGGGAAGGGAGGGGGGGAGAGAGATATCAATTGGTTGCCTCTCCTATGTGCACCAACCAGGGACTGAACCCATAACCTAGGTATGTGCCCTGACCAGGAATTAAACCCGAGACCTTTCTGTGTAGGTGACAGCGCTCCAACCAACCGAACCATAATGGCCAGGACAAAAGGTCTGAAATTTCTGAAAGGCTAAGAAAAAGATAATATATGATCCTAATCAACTATTTGCCCACTTTGTGTCCAAAACAGTAACTGGCACACAGCAGGCCTTCCACAAATATTTGTTGATTGACTGAATAAATTAATTAGTTGTCCTTGGACAGTCATAATTCTCCAGCATAATGTGACAGAGTAAAGAAAGACTGTAATCACCAAAAACCTCATCATATTCTCTATCTTCCCTGATTCAAATACTGGCAGTACTAGAATGTCCTTGGAGAACTGTCCAGATGAGGAAACAGGAAAGTTAAAAAACTTGGTATTATTCAAGGACAACTGGGCTTCAACATTTCCAATGGGTAAACAAACTACCTCTTTTATAGGAACTCTGAGGACATTAGTTCCCCAGTCTTAAATGACTACTATCCTATGGCAACCTGCTAAAAAGCTAGGCCTGTGGCTAAGCAATAGTGAGCTACCTTAAAATACCCAATGCCTTAGTTTTCCCTGGCTAAATGATTCCATTCTATAGGGAAAAACATTAGAGATTTTAAGACAATTTTAAAATATTTGCTTAACTATAATTATCTTAGAATATTTTAGAAAACAACTACTCACACCAATCTCAGTAAGATCTTGTATCATATATTTATTCCAAAAAAATCGATCATCAACCTGGAAAAGGTAGAGAATAAACAGTTCAGAAACCTGTTGTTTCAGTTTCCCGATAAAGCCAAATAAGTCCATAAACTGCTCCGGAGGGCAAACCCTGCTCTGAACCGTGAGAGGTACCTTCTGCCAGAGGGGCCGGGGGTCCCTCTCTGCAGCGCTTTGCCTCTGCACTGAGTTGGTCAAGTCATAGGTCAAGCTGTAGTAAAAGGATTCCGAGTCCATGAACATCTTCAGCAACTCTTCGAGTAATCTTCTCTCCAACTTTTCCTTTTCTTTACTTTCCTTGACCTGTAAAAATGTGGATCTACTATCACTGCAGAAATGAAATGTAAAGACAGCCTATGTGGGTAATACACACCTTCCTAGGAAAGAGGTGAAGCTAATCACTAGGACAGTGGTTCTCAACCTTCCTAATGCCACGACCCTTTAATACAGTTCCTCATGCTGTGGTGACCCCCAACCATAAAATTATTTTCGTTGCTACTTCATAACTGTAATTTTGCTACTGTTATGAATCGTAATGTAAATATCTGATATGCAGGATGTATTTTCATTGTTACAAATTGAACATAATTAAAGCATAGTGATTCATCACAAAAACAATATGTAATTATATATGTGTTTTCTGATGGTCTTAGGCGACCCCTGTGAAAGGGTCGTTCGACCCCCAAAGGGGTCGCGACCCACAGGTTGAGAACCGCTGCCCTAGGACATGCAGAGGCAGTGCTGGAATATGATAAGTGGTTTCAAAATAAGTTCACTGGCAGGAAAATTACCCCTCAACTTAAATCTAATAAAAAATAAATTCCAAGCCCATATCAGTTAAATTCTTTTTTTTCTTATTAAATCTTTATTGTTGAAAGTATTGCATATGTCCCCCCTCTTCCCCCCATTGACCCCTTCTAGCCCACCCCCTACCCTGCCCCAGGCCTTCCCCACCCCACTGTCTGTGTCCTTGGGTTATGCATATATGTATGCAAGTTCTTCCCTCCCTCCCCTGCCTTCCCTCCAAGATTCCGCAGTCTGTTCTATGCTTCTATGTTTCTGCATCTATTTTGTTCGTCAGTTAATTTTGTTCATTAGATTCCACATATGAGTGAGATCATGTGATACTTGGCTTTCTCTGACTGATTTTGCTTACTTTCTTTTTATTAGGAGCAGATACATTGGACTTAATATGCGTAAAGGTCTTCAGTAAAAACTTTGAGTCATCAGGAGATGGTATAATCTTCTCTGGTTTGTTAATTCCAAAATGATGCTTCTTACAGAGCTAAATAATAGGGAGAGAGAGAGAATTCATTATTATTAATATCTACTTGCTAAATGTTCAAATGTGAGTCCAGCAGTGGATGCTACTGCTCCTGCACTGTGGTTCAAAGTAAACCTCAAGAGTTAGAAAAACGACCAAGGAGACAACTGGTCACAGGAAACACAGCTGTGCTTTCAGTGATTAGAAAGCTACAGTAGAAGACAGGCAAAGAATACAGGGCAGGATATACTTAGGATTTAGGGATGGGAAATTCACGTTAGGATCATAATTATGGTTAACATAACTGAAAAATAAAATGCTCCAGCTGAGGTTAATTAATGCTTTAAAAATTGGCATCTAAAATTTTAAACATGCAAAATGCACGTTTTCTATGCTCCAAGGGCATTACTCCACAGCTGTCTGTGCTAAAAATTCATTCATGCCAGTTAACTGGGTGTTCTGGTTTAGAACATGTCAAGAGTCTGCTCTACTGCAGAACCTTAAAAGCTGGACAGGTCAACTGCTTCCTCTCCTCCTATCCTCATACACTAACCAATCAACAAAAAACATAGTCTCTGGGTCCAGGGATTAAATCTGAAGAAGCAGTATATAGAGGCTTCAGGAAATGTGTGGGCCAACTGGCAAAGGTGAGGAAGAGGATGGGGACGTGTTAAGACCAGAGAAGGGCACAGAAGTTCTGAAGACAACTACCTGGTTAAAATCAAGTGTTTTACATATAATTTCACACACCCCCTCCCAGGTCTTCACTATCCTATTGCCCGTGTTCATGGTAACTCCAATATTTTGTTCTGAGCACAAGACCCAAATATATAACGTCTGCCTGCTATTGACACACCAGTCCCTCGAATTCAGCATCTTCAAAACTGATCAACATCTGTTTCTCAAATCTATCTCGGGCAACTACTATAGCACCC